GCATGCGCCCCATGCTTTGTTGTGTGGCGGGAGTCGACATGTATATCAAGTATGGATGAGTATTAGGTGCCTGGCTGTGCGACGCCCGCTGCGTGAAAACAAGCAGCCAGGGTGGGCTCAGTGGGCCGCCTATCCAATCTCCGCTATCTCAGCATCGCCGTCGAGGAGGCTGGTGGTTGGCTGTCTTTGTCCACCCTCCTTCTTTTCCGGACAATCGTTATAACTCCACTCCCCCAAGCCCTCAATCCAATATCCAACACTGCCCGCACCACCAGCATCCACGTACTGCTGCTTGCGTCTCTCTGCCCTCTGCCCTCTGCCCTCTGCCCTCCCCTCCCTCTTCGTACCTGCCAATGCACAGCCCAATGCCGCTTGCAGTAAGTAGAGTAGAGTAGAGTAGAGTAGCATCTGCATCCATCCTCGACACTAGCCAGCCCCACACGATCCAATACATATGGCCTGGTCGCGCAATCGTCGATGGATGCATGCATGCCCTTGTCGTGTTGCTAAGTATTGCTGTCGCTGCTGCAATCATTATTCTACATGCTCCAAACCACCGTCTCATGGCCAGTTTGCCCATTGTGAAACGCAGGCACATTGCACACCACACCATGGCGCCATTGCACCCGACGCCTGCTGCTGCTGCTGCTGCAATCGGCGCAAGGCTCACTCTCTCGTCCCTACCCCGCCCCCGAGCGAAGCTTATCTCACCTTGCGTGTCCCGATGCCAGAGCCGCGTCAGCGACCATTTCTTCTGCCGCCTCTTAGCCTCGACATGATGGCTTCTATCTAACTACACACTCATCGCCTCGTGCCCCAACCTTGCTTCTGCTTCCACCACCACTACCACCACCACATGCTCCCTTCCGCCGCCATCCGCGCCCCAGCCGTCGTGGTCTTGGTCCTCCGCCCGCATTGCAACTCGCCCCAACCACTCAAGTCCGTGCTGCACAGTCGCATCATGTCTTCACGAACCGGTCCTGCCCCGGCCTTGGCATGGCTTGTAGCTTGCTGCTAATTATGAACGGCCTCTAGCCTACCGCTCAACGCAAATCCAACCTGCTGACACGAGTCTGACACCTCCGCTGCAAAAAAAAATCAATCTACCCCAACACTTCGAGGCACGGCACTCACAACACGACCCCAACTCCATGTTGGCACGCCTGTTGGCCCTGCTGCTAGGCCAACAACTGTCGTGCCTTCCCTTTTGAGTATTGCCATGCCCACCACATGGGGACGCGTATCCTCTGCTGCATCGATTCCTGTGACAACACTCTGCTCAACCAACCCATACATATGCATTTTCTCTCTTGTTAATTTATTCGCTCACACCAACTACCCACCCCTTGCAATACCCCCATGGTGTGCTCCCAAACCTTCTTTGCAGTGTCATCTCGCCGCGCCTTGGCCCAGCTCACTTCCTTCCTCTCGTCTCCTCGCTGGCCTACTGCATAGGCTCCCCCTCCCATCTCCCTCTGACTGCTGAAAGCCACCTTGTCCCCTGCCAATGTTCCCTTGGCAGGATACCGCCCCGTACTCAGAGACACCATGACCTGTCCACACACCTCGGGGCTCGTCATGTACCAGCTCGCCAATGGCTTCAACACCCTCCACAGAATACGGAACCATAGCGGGTTTTCCTCGCTCAGAAAAGTGGGGCCGTCTACTAGTCCAGGGTAAATGTGTACAAAACTGATTTTTCCCTCATGTTGCTCGGCCAGTAATTCAAAAATAAATGTCTTCATGAAGCACGTCCGCTTGCGCACTTCGGTCACACTGTAGATTGCTGCCTCGGGCGCACCAATCGGCACCTCACCTGCCTTGATCTGGTCCTCGACTGATCCCGCAAAAATGGAAATGACATGCGCCGTCGTCGGACTTGCTCTAAGCAACCCACTCAGATTCTGTATGAATCGGATGCGCGAGTAGTAGAGCAACGACATTTGCGAATCAATTCCTTCTTCCGTGACTGCAATCACTCCAATCAGTATATGAAACTCTGGCGGAACAAAAAACAAACAACAAATAACCTACGAGGTGATGGTGCCAATGGCGACAGCGCCGAACTCATGTACAATGCATCCAACCTCGGTGGTCCGCCGGCAAACGCACCTGCCTCCTCTTGCCGTATAATCTCCTCACTCACAGCATCCACCTCACTCATCAAAGCCAAATTCTTCGCCCTAATGAACCGCCACTCCGAGCCCGCGCTCGTCTCACGACCAGATTGCATCAATCTCTCTGCCCGTTCAGCATTGCGTCCCACGAGATAAACCCGGAGTTTAGCTCCATGTCCCGCAAACGTCGAGGCAAACGTTTGTGCTACATACGATCCAATACCGCTTGTACCTCCAATCAGGGCCACGACAAGCGGTGGCCCATCCGGTAGCTGCGCAATGCTCGAGCGGATGGTTTCGACGTCTGGCATTGTTAGTCTTGCGAGGTGGGCTGATGATGAGTGTACTCGAGCGTAAGACGCAATCAGCAGATGCTGGATATGTGTATTCGACTACATGTTCATATAAATCTCTGATTTGTATTACCCAATATTCTGCAGCAGGAGGCCTTATTTCTACCATTGCTAATATGCTCGTTGTATATTGCCGTTACGCCCGTTTGCATAGTACGTCCTGTGTTGCTGGCCTATCAGAGCTGGCGTGTTTACAGGCTTAAGTCCGTAAGTCCGGGAGCCATCCGTCATAACACTCTTGCAACCAGCAAATCCTATACACATACATGTCCTATTTTCCGTTCCACGCATCGATGACATCCTGGACTTTGAGCGGTTTGATCTCAGGAAACCAGTCGTTTTTGCACTTTGTCATATCCATATCAAAGCCACCTCCCAAATATGACAACGCGGCAGCCGAAAACATCGGGATCCATTCCGGACTGGGCAACCATTCCCTTACATTTGGTGGCAGGGTCATCTTGCCTGCTCGAATGTCCTCCTCCGTATCATAGTGGACTTCGAATTTCACACCCTTTGTCTGCTCGGCGCGCTGCACAAATTGCTTTAGAGTAAGGCGATCGGCAGCGAAGAAAGCTGATTCAGGCCAATTGGGAACATCCATCATGCCAACAACGAAGCGTGCCGCATCCGCGGTATGCGTGAAGACCATAAAGGTCTCGCCGTCTCCCGGTATGGCAGCAAAATTGTGAGCCAAATCGATGAATATGCCAACAATCTTGCGCGGGTCCAGCACACTGCGAACATGAGGGTAGCCCCAGAAATCAAGAAAGATGCCAATGCAGACGAGACTGTACTCCAAGTCTGTCTTGGCGAGCGCTTCACGAGCCTTGAACTTGTACGTGTATGAAGGTGGATGTTTGACCATTCTAGATGACTCATGTCAGAAACTACCTTTTTTTCTTATCCAAGAGAAGTATAGAGAGGGGGAGCAGGGATCCTACGTGCTCTTTATGGTAGTCGGCACCGAACTCGCTGGGAATGAACCGCTTCACACACCCAGCACCGACAGATGCCTCAATCAGATTCAACTGCGCCTGGCCGCTCGACTCGTCTCCAATGGACAGCGCAGATATGACCGTGTGGATGGACTGCGCCTTCAACGCCTCCGCGAGACCAGAGGTCGAGGTGTAATCAACAACTATAGCTTTTGCATCATCGCTAGGTGTCCGGGTGAAGATGACATATTCGTGCATATCCTGGGCTTTTAGAGCATTGTGGATGGCCAGGCCAATGCCAGATGTGCCACCCGCAAGCGCGATCTTGACCATCTGATAGAAGTTGCTGTTGAATGCCTGGCTGGAACGATAACGGTGTGATACTAACAAGACATAAGAGAATATTAGGTTTAAATATTTCACCTAGTATTTAAGAGGCGGACGGGACCAGAAGCATGTCACTGTGTCTTGTATGAAAACCTGAGGAAGGTTCAGCCCCTCGGAGACCACACTTCGGACCAAAATGCTCCACGGTCACGTGTATGGGAAGAGTAAAGCATACATAGCCCCCTCCCCGTCCAAACCTCAAGACTTCCTTTAAGAATTTCGTCTTTAGTACACTCCCAAATTCAACATGTTTTTTGTGTGTGCCTAATCTGCGACATTGCTTCATAAAAAGTGGGTGGGTTTTCTGGAAACCTGATGATTTCCGGGATAAGTAAGCTAGAGATATACTTAGTAGGACTTCCGAGTGCGATGTTTTTGTATCGCTACTACGCCTTATCCTGACTTGGATTTAGTATTATGAAGTTTCAAAGTAACTTAATAAAATTGGTAATGTAGGTGGTTAGTGAACTTTGTAATTGTTGGATGTTATGTAAATGGTGTGGATCCTAAGTTGGTGGTTTGGTTTCATGTGGTAGCTGTCGTTGTTGTGCCATGCGTCTTGTCAGACTTGGGACTAACAGCAAGCTCTTGCATCAACGCATTGTAAGCACACGTGTATTACACACTGCACTTGCTCGTGGAGATGACCAAAATGCTTTACAAATACGATGGCTCGATTGAGTAATTAGCGTATCTACTAGTATACGTGTGTATATTGTAGCTACTTAATTGAGACCGATGCTGCATCCCTTTGTCCTAGAAGTCTGACATTAAAAACTCTATGGATAGAAATGACATCACCAACAATAAAATTACAGCAAAGCCTAGATTGCACAACTCTACATCGCTTGTACGCGCTCTCCAGCTCCGTCCAATGCGACATGTATGGGCTGGGCCTCGCCGACAGTGACAATCTTAGCTTCGCCTACTAGGGTGTCCGACCCCACAAGAACGGTCCCTGAGAAGCAACGGCGAGATTTGCCCGCCATCACAACACGTAGCATCTCAACACTCGAACAAAGCAATTGGCACTTGGCCCACACATCAATTGCTCCTCTTTCCCTAACACTTAGTGGTACACATAATTGATTTTGGCATCTCCTTCCGGTAAGTGCAAGAGAACAGGTGCCCCACCGACCATCTGCAGCTCTCTGGACACAGTAGCTAACACTCGACCTCGCCCGTGCAGCTACCCGACATCCACCATGAGCAACCTTTTCGAGGCAAAGGTCAAGAGCGTACTTTCCGGCGATACCGTCGTCCTCCACAACATCAAGGACCCAAAAGCAGAGCGCATACTCAGCCTAGCCTTTGTAACAGCGCCGCGATTGAGACGAGAGGGAGATGAGCCCTTCGCCTTCGAGTCACGCGACTATCTCCGCCGCCTGCTGGTAGGCAAGGTCGTCCGATTCCAAGTCCTGTACAAAATACCCACAGGCGCGAACCGCGAATATGGCCTCATTGTCACACCCAACAAGGAGATACTACCCCAACAAGCCGTCGCCGCAGGCTGGGTGAAGCTGCGAGACGACGCTGGCCGCAAAGAAGACTCGGACGAAGCGGCCAATCTGATTGAGAGACTCCAAGTAGACGAGGCACGCGCCAGGGCAGACTCAAAGGGAATCTGGGCCGAGACGGGTGGCAGGATCAACGTGGCTTTAGAGCTGAGCGATCCCCACAAGTTTGTTGAGCAGAACAAGGGCAAGGACATTGACTCGATTGTCGAAAAGGTCCTTTCCGGCGACCGTCTCATCGTGCGCCTCCTTCTTTCGCCCACCGAGCATGTGCAAACCATGGTCCTCCTCGCTGGTATCCGCGCGCCAGCAACACAACGAACGAACCCCTCGGACGGAAAGGTGCAACCGGCTGAGCCATTTGGTGACGAGGCACAACAATTTGTTGAGGCAAGGATGCTCCAGCGCGGTGTGCTCGTTCAGGTACTCGGTACTACACCCAATGGCCAGCTCGTTGCAGATGTCAAGCACCCGACCCAGGGCAGCATCACACCTTTCCTCCTCAAGAACGGTCTCGCAAAGTGCACCGACCACCACACGACCCTTTTGGGCCAGCAAATGGGTATACTGAGGGGAGCTGAGAAGCAGGCAAAAGAAGGTCGATTGGGCGTGTACAAGGAACACGTTGCGCCCAAGGTCACCCGGGCAGGCGAGCAAGAAGCCACCGTCAGCCGAATCCAGAGCGCAGACACGCTTTTCCTGCGGAACAAGGCCGGTGCAGAGAAGCGCATCAACCTCAGCAGCGTCCGTCAACCAAAGCCTACTGATCCTAAGCAATCGCCATGGGTGGCCGAGGCAAAGGAGTTCCTGCGCAAGAAGCTTATTGGAAAGCATGTCAAATTCCACGTTGATGGAAAGCGGCCAGCCAGCGATGGCTACGATGAGCGAGAGATGTGCACCGTCACCATCCAGGGCAAGAATGTTGGTCTGATGCTTGTCGAGAACGGCATGGCTTCGGTCATCCGCCACCGACAGGACGACACGGATAGGAGCCCCATCTACGATGACCTCCTACTGGCTGAGCAAGCTGCGCAAGAGGAGAAGAAGGGGCTGTGGTCGGACAAGGCGCCGTCTATCAAACAGTACGTCGACTACTCGGAGTCGCTTGAAAAGGCCAAGCGCCAACTCACCGTACTCTCCCGGCAACGCAAGGTACCCGCAATTGTGGACTTTGTCAAGTCTGGATCGCGTTTCACTGTACTGGTACCACGCGAGAACGCAAAACTCACCTTTGTCCTCTCTGGTATTCGTGCGCCTCGATCTGCGCGTAACGAGAACGAAAAGGGGGAGCCGTTTGGCAAGGAGGCACACGAATTCGCCAACCGACGTTGCCAGCAGCGAGACGTTGAGATCGACGTCGAGGACTGCGACAAGGTCGGTGGTTTCATCGGTACTCTCTACATTAACCGTGAGAACTTTGCAAAGACGCTAGTCGAGGAGGGTCTTGCAACAGTCCATGCCTACTCCGCGGAGAAGTCTGGAAACGCAAACGAGCTGTTTGCTGCTGAGCAGAGGGCCAAGGACGCACGCAAGGGCTTGTGGCATGACTATGACCCTTCACAAGAGGACGACGGCGAGGAAGTTGAAGCTGCTGAAGCTACCAACGGCGAGGCTGCTCCATCAGCAAAGGCAGACTACCGCGATGTCATCATCACACATGTCGAAGACGATGGCCGACTCCGACTCCAGCAAATTGGTAGCGGTACATCGGCCTTGACGTCGCTCATGGACGCCTTTGGCAAGTTCCATCTCAACCCAGCAAACAGCCAAGGCCTGTCCGACGCTCCCAAGGCTGGTGAGTTCGTCGCAGCCAAGTTCACTGCTGATGATCAATGGTACCGCGCGCGTATTCGACGCAACGACCGTGAAAACAAAAAGGCCGAGGTCGTGTACATTGATTATGGTAACTCTGAGATAATCCCATGGTCACGCCTCCGCCCTCTTTCACAGCCTCAGTTCTTGCCATCAAAGCTTAAGCCACAAGCTGTCGAGGCACAGTTGGCATACATCCAACTCCCTGGCAACTCCGAGTACCTCCAGGATGCGGTATCATTCATCTCGCAAGAGACTGCCGACCGTGAGCTCGTTGCCAGAGTCGAGGCAACTGAGAAGGACGGCATGCTCTGGGTCACTTTGTACAACCCTAGCCAGAGCAAAGACGGCACTGAGAGCATCAACGCAGACATTCTGAGTGAAGGTCTCGCCATGGTGCCTAAGAAGCTACGACCATTTGAGCGCAGTGGCGGAAACATCTTGGCTGCCTTGAAGAAGAAGCAGGATATCGCCAAGGAGGAGCGTCGCGGCCAGTGGGAGTATGGCGATCTTACCGAGGACTAGGTTGTTGACTTGTCTTTGATTTGGCATCAGTTGAACCTGGATATGACTTGTATGAGAAAACAAAAGTTGGCACACAGCAGGACTGAAAGAAAATGGCTTGGAAGTATATGCTAACGATGTTGTAATATTAAAAAAAAGTCTATGCATTCGATTACGTTGTGCTATAGTTCCAGGCTGCTGCTCACATGTTGAAATTTGTTAGTGTCGTCGTGACTATGGCATACCGGCGTGCCAGCGTGCCGCCATAGCAGGTGAGACATTATTACTCATTACAGCCTCGCTATCTACAACAATGACGAATGTTGTTTCAGTAGAGATCGCGATAACGCTCATTTGTGGCTTCTGTATTAGCATGTCGAATTGTATGCATGCACGTTCATCGTTGCCTGAGGCCGTCGCACACTCCGTAGGTCAGCCCTGCCGCGGTGGTGGCGCAGGCGGAGAAGGTTGCACTGTGATTGGTTGCTCGGCGACGGAGATCTTTCCCCCACCATCCAAGGAGCTGAGGCGGTGCCTGTAGGCAACCATCAAATGCACCCTGGTTAGACAGAACACGAGTCTTGCGCCATGGCGACGGGCCCCAAGGCAGTCGTGTTGCAGGCACCCCTCATGCATCCCCTCACATAGCTAATAATCGCCTTCCCCCCCTCATCGCGCGTCGCAGCAGCCTTTGCGACGACTTGCCAGCCCGCTTGTGACCATGGAAACGATTAGCAGACTGCCGCGGCGCTTGACACAGCTCTATTCAGACACCAAAACCACCTGCGATGCTGTAGTGGAGCAGGATGCCAAAGACACGCCAGAATCGCACGCGCTGCATCGCAAATTCCGGATTCAAAAGGACAGGCTCATAACATGGGGCGTCGACTGGAGCGATAACGCCAAAGGAAAGCAAGGCGACATTGACGACAGCGTCGAGGAAGCTGGCATGACGGAGACTGTCACGAGTGTGCTTGGGACCATCAAGGAGATTCTCGATGAGGCAGAAAGAATGCACCCGGGCGCATCTGCTGCTGGTGTGGGAAAGACATTATCTGGAGAGAAGAGTCGGCCTGACCCGCCCTCGTGGGCGCCCGCTGACAAGTCACGTTACGAGGACTTGATCAAGGACCTCACCACTTCCATTGACATACTGTACGACCTGTCCCGCAACCGAAGAAACCAGAGAGGCCAAGAGCGAGGAAGCAGCCCAGGAAAAGCTGCACCACGATCTCGTCAACACGGCACTGCAACACCAGTGTTCCTGTCGCCAGACTACAACGCATCCGACCTGACGCTCGTAAACCCAGCCACCTTCTCGTCGAATGCTCAGATTCCCCGGTCCAACCTTCCACCAAAACTAGAATACACTGACCTCATTCTGCCCGACGAGGAACCGCCACCATACGAAAGTGTTGGAACCACATCTGTTCGTGTCATTGGCCGCTTACGATCTAGAAACAACTCGCATACCTGGAAAGCAGACAGTGGCAGAGATAAAGAGACCTGTGTACTCGTAGATTACGCAAGCTACGATCCTACCTATCGCCTTACCGGAGTTTCGCCATCGACGGAACGTCTCGAGGCTCTCTTGGGTATACTAACAAAGTTGTCTAACAGCCAATCTTTCCACGGCACACTCAAGTGTCTCGGATACATTGAAGATCCAAACCAGCCGCGATTCGGTTTGGTATTCGAATTGCCGAGTTCCGTCTATTCCGGACCTCTCGATTCACACAAATCTAAAGACGACTTGACGCCAGTTACCCTACTGAGCGTGCTTCAGACGGGATCCAAATCCTTGCACAACTCCAACAGCGCGACCCCACCACTCGAAGACCGCTTTCGTCTGGCCTTTACTCTCGCCTTGACTTTTAGCAAGATCCATGGCGATAATTTTGTTCACAAGGACGTTAATAGTACTAATATTGTGCTATTTAAGAAGAACAAGCGCCATTCTGCAAACAACAGAGCCCTACAGTATTCACTACGAACCCCTGTTATCTGCTCATTCGATATCTTTTCCGACTGCGACGTCGAGGCCGCCAACACGATGCCGACACTAAACATCTACCGCCACCCCGATGATCCCAAGTGTACTGGCGAAAAGCACCCGTACACGCCTAGTTTCGATCTATATGGTCTGGGCTTAGTGCTACTTGAAGTGGGTCTGTGGCAGCCGCTCTTTGACTTGTGGAAACAAAAGTATACGCTCCGCGATTTCAAGCAAAGAATCGAGGATGTGTATATCAGGAGGCTTGCGTCCAAATGTGGAACGGCCTACATGCAAGTAGTGCGCGACTGTTTCTGGGCTGCCGATGCAAGGGGTGACGCTGCAGACGTCTACCCAGTCTATTCCCGCATACTTACTAGGCTACAGCGCTGCTGTATGCTGGACGAGTCCGAGCCCGGATTCGACCTGAAAGACTTGCGGCCTGACGCTGTGCCCATACAACACGCGTCTCCACTGAAGCGCAAGAGTGGCAGCCAGACTCAGCTTGCTACTGAAGCTCAGCAAAGTCCATCCTATAGAAGCGCAAAGAGATGGGCTATGGAAAAGGGATCACAGGCGTTGGAGAGAACCAAGTCTTTGTCAAGAAAATCACCTGACCTTTCACTCGCACGAAACCCATCACGAAGCTCACAACACTCAATCCGAAAGAGCATCTCGGAAAGCCTACGGATGATGAGCCCCAAGCAAGACACACTGGATCTAGAATGGGAACCGAGGGATCCACTTGAGGAATCGGGCACCCTTGTTGCGACGCCACCGAACTCGCAAGACCCAAGTGATGCCTCATCACTGTATCGAGAGCGAGTAGTTACTGCCGCTTCAACGATACAGCGCGCATGGAGGCAGTCACGCAAACCTCCGGGTCAGCCCGTATCCCTGAAAGACTACAAGGAAAAGATCACAATCATCCAGAATGCTTGGCGACAGTCAAAGCAGAAGCAGACGAACAGCACCATTTCAGCTCTCGTTACTGACGGAATCCGCCACTGGCCGCAGGCTACCCTTGGGTACCCAACGCCCGAGCCCGAGCCTGAGATTCACAGCCGCACAGTGGATTCGAGCGAGAGTTTTGTCACGTCTTCGATACAGATCGAGACGGAAAATGAACCCATCGCTCGTCCAAAGATGCGCTTGTTTCCCATCAAGTTCACGCCCGAGATTGTGGAAGAATGGCACTCGACTATGCTGCCTCGTCTCGAGCGCCTCATCGAGCGTGCACTCAAAGACTCCGAGGAAACCGTCAGCATCGATCTCGTTGCTGTAGGAGAAGTTCTGGAGAAGGCCAAGCCAACAGTCTTTGTCACCTGCAGTAGTGTTGCAAAGGTTAGGGCTATTCTGGGTCGCCGCTTTCGATACGACGAGAATGTGTATGATTTGAAAGTCAGGAGGGGCAAGATTAGGAGATCGAAAATGAGTCGCTCGTCACGTCGTACTCGGTATGTTTTTTGTTTGTGAACTACGAGCAAGTGACTAATTCTTACAGACCTCCTCATCGCTCCATGATGAACACCGACTCGTATGGCGCTGATATGGCTGTCATGAATCCATGGCATCAGCAACGCCCACTCTGTGGAGCATCTATCGGTGCCTTCAATGGACAGCACCTACCACCAGTTTCATATGGTGGAGTTATTCTAGTCGATGATGAGCCATTGGGTATGAGTGTCCACCACCTGCTCGATGCGCCATCAGACGATGAGAGTGACGGCGGCGAAGACTACGATAGGCCATACCCAAACGAAACCACGTTGTCAAGTGCAGCCAACAACCCCTGGCTGATGGGTATGGGCACGCAGCCAGGTGTTTACTTGGAGTCAGAGGAGCCTGCTCCTATGTGGAATCTTGAACTATCTGATGATGAAGACCTAAGGAGCGAAGACGATGAGGTCGACGCTGACTCGTTTGATTTTTCCGACAGCGAATTCGAATCCGACGATGAATCCGCTGAGGGTATGTTGACAACTTTCGCCATACGGCCATCAAACTAACCAAGGATAGACATGGCTGAGTCTGCCATGTCACGTGCAACTACAGGCGATATCGATGGCATCCTGCCCGGCGAGGGCGAAGAGATCCGAATTACCCAGCCAGCCCTTGACGACGTAGACCCAGATTTCTTTCCCAACGAAGAAGACCGTGACGACGACCATCTCTCCTCCCACGAACTAGGCCACGTCCACGCCTCTTCCGGCATCCGTCGCTGGAAGCGCGATGGTATCCTCCACGAAATCGACTGGGCGCTCCTCAAGCTCAAAGAAGACCGACTCCAACCCTACAACATCTGCCAAGGCGGCCGCCGCTTCTGCTTCGGCAACATGACCCCCGAACAGCGCATCATAGCCTCTAAACTCAAGTCGCCCGTGGACCGCCGCCAATACACGCCCGAAGAAGACGAGTACCCCAACGGCGTCGCACCCGCCTCTTCCCTCGGCGGCCTCGCCGTCCACTGCTTCGGCCGCACAACCGGCCTCCAAGGCGGTATGATCAGCTCCGTCATGTCCGCCGTGCGCATCTACCACCGCAAATCCTTCTCCCGCTCCTGGCACGTCGCCGGCGACTTTGGCGTCGGTGGCGACAGCGGTGCGTGGGTCGTGCAGAATGGTAAACACAAAGTCGTCGGCCACGTCCTTGCTTTCTGCCACAAAAACCGTATCGCGTATATTTGTCCCATGGAAGTGCTACTTGAAGATATCAAACGCACGCTTGGTGCAAAGCGGATTTATCTTCCGGGTTCGATGGAACAGATGTCGTATGCGGCCCGAAGGACACGACAGCAGCAGCATCAGCAAGTTGATGCCATGTCGGACCTGGGTGATAGAGTTCATGGACTCGGTATCGTGGATTCCGCAGTCGACGTCAGAGAAGCGCTTGCATCTGGTCCTCCTCCTCCAAGTGTAAATGCAGGCGGCATCTGGACCCATCGCTCCCCTTTACTCGCCCGTGCAGCAGCAGCAGCACAGGATGCAGCGGATAAAGAGGCGAGAAGCGTGATTCGAAGTAGTATTGTGCGCGTGCCTGAGAGTACGAGGGATGGTGGCATTGAAATGAGTGTTTAGCAATCCACACTTTCCCCCCCTTTTCCTCCTTTTTTTTCTTCCTCTACTTCATGTTTATTAGTATAGCGTTGTCTTTTATATATATACCCGCAATTGAGAAATTTCCACTCTTCCTCTTCTTGATTTTCGTCATTCAATCCCATATTCTACCCCCTATATTCGCAATCACACCTTCTTCATCCTCGCCTTCGCCCAATCTCCGCCAGAACTCGTCGATTTCACCAACGTACTGTGTCGAGTTTAGGGGCTTCGCCCATTCGTTACTGCGTGATGTCGCGAGCTGCTGCCACTGAGCCATGCGCTCGGGTCGCTTGCCGTCGCGGTTCGACGCGAAATGGATTAGAAGCGATCCTTTGCGTGCTGCGGAGGGAGCGGCAGATGGGGGTGCAGAGGTGGGAGAAGGGGGTGGTGGGTATGCATTGAACCAGCGTTGGGGGACGTGAATGATATTTTGGGAGAAGTGAGGCTGGTAAAAAAATTTGTCAATGTCAGTTTCATCTTTTTTTTTAAAAAAAAAAATCCTTGTGTGAGTATGAACAAGGGAAGTATGGTCACGCAGGGGGGGGGGGAGTGAAAGAGGGGGTTTAAAAAGAGAAGAAAAAGGAAAGAAACGTACCCGTCCCCCCACAATCTCCATAGCACTCTGCTCTGAATACTTCAACTTCACTCCCTCATCCCACTCCCTCAGGCTCAAACTCGCACTCAAAAACCGTACCGCCCACTCGCCAACCTTTATAAAGAAAACCCCATTATTCAGCCCATGCCGATCATTCGTAACTATTAAATTGACATCTTTACCCGTCTTATTGGGCCCCAAATCTTTTCCCGGGGACGGTAAGAATATTTCAAGGGGAATGTGCGGGTTCATGAGAATGGTATCGCGGTCGTGCCAGAAGAGCCAGTGAAGCCGGTCCTGGGCTGGTTTGGAGAGTTCGGTGCCGATGAGGGTGAGGAGGAAGGCGTGTTTGGACCAGAGGCCGGGGAGCATGCGTTCGCGTAGGATGAAGTGCGGGTAGCCGTGTTGCGTGTCGTGGGTATGGTGGGATGAGATTGCGGCTTCGTAGGTGCTATCTTTGGGGCCGAAGGAGGCGGTTGCTTTGCCGATTTTGGAAGGGAATTTGGTACTGTCTTGAGGAAGAGTGGTGGAGGGGTCTGAGGAGAGGAGTGGGGTTGAAGCGAGGATTGGTGGGGAGGGTGCTGGGGATGGCGTGTGTGTGAGGTAGAAGATGAGGGATACGACGAGGGTGAGGAAAGAGAGGTATTTCACGGTTTGAATGCGACTTCGTGGACGACAGGTTTGGCGGCATTGCGATTCCTCGTCGTCGTCGGAGAGAGAAAAGTCGCTGTCGAATGATGGTCGCGTGCTGCGACTCATTGCGGTATTTGATGCTGTCATCTGGACGGAATGCGACTTTCACGGCTTGCGCATACGATGGGGCGTATAGCATTGAGGATCCTTGCGTCTTTGGTTGGATAGAAGAAGAGAAAGGAAATTCCCACACTGAGGCTGGTGAGTGCGACTACATAGCTCGAGACTTGGGTAAATGGCCGAGAGATATGAGACGCGTACTGTGTTGGTATTGCGCCTCAAAGGTCCGGCGTCAGCCTCCCTGCATGGCCGACGCATACGTAGGTAAGAAGTTCCAAGGTTGTTACACGGCCAATTAGGTTCAGCGGGCTGGGCGCCGGACTGGGCGCACCAAAGTATGGCGACCGGGGTTGCCACGTTTGTGAGGCTCACTACGTGTTTAGCATCTACCGGCTCTATCTTCATGTACATGTCTAGAAGAAAACGACTTCTATCAGTTTTGGTGAGATCTCTTGTAGTACTACGTCATACAAAGTAGTACGGGCTAACAGCAGTCTTTTTAGGCATTTTAGCCAAGAGTCTGGGCACCATGATGATACTATAGGTCGATGTATCAGGAAAGTAGATTCTACTTCTTCGCAATATTCAGAATTAAGTTGACTGAACTATTGCATCCGTAAGGTACATTTAACGAGAGTCAAGTGAGTTGTTTAATACCGAGTGGCATGACTCAAGTCATCGTCGTATCCGTAAGATTAGTTACACCACTAGTTTTGGCCTTCAGTCTCCGTGCGGGAGTTTTGCGGTATCTCTTTACAAAGCGTGATTCATGGGTCTTGTGAATTTACTCAAATTTTCTGGTACAATTAGCCATGCTACATGTAGCTAGCATACTGTCGTATTTGAATCTTGTTGTGATTAAGAAGTCCGCACCGACCACTGCTTATCTGAGGCACTTACAGGAGCATCCCACCACTCAACGCAGACCCAGGAACTGTTTGGTTCGTTATCCGTCGAGTCATTATGGTAGGAAGTCTTCGACCCTGGCCTGACATTAATTTTTTTTACTCCTGAACGTAATCATTCCTACATTTGTTGGATTAAAGTTTAGAATGTAGTTCACAACAAGTGTGAGAACTACTAGTCTGGAGAAGGAAGAGATGAGCAAAACGCATTGAAGAGTGTTTTTACATACACATTCTATGCAAGCCTGAATTTTCTTTCTAGAATTGTGGTTGTTGAATATAGGGCATTGAGTATTGAGAGCACCTGTTGACTTGCTTGGCAAAAAATACTGCAGACTGTGATCAAAAGGGGAGAGACAAGGAGAATTAGTACAATCATTGTGTACTGTTAGGGATCAAACACTACTGTAGAGTTTAGTTGTCATGTAGGCAGTGATGTGGGTGGGCGGGAGAAAAGTCGTAGCGTTATATGATACAGATGGAGATTTATCTTTTTTAGTGAGAGACATTCGGTGTGAAGTTTGCAGATGCGTCTACTATGAAAGACAAGTATCTATGCTTAAGCATACATATTCCTGATTAGGAAACTAGAAGAAGTGTTGGAGTGGTACACTTTCCGTCTCTTTCTCTCCATCATTCTACTGCCATCTCTCTATACGTTTAATTCTCTATCTTTACTTTCTAAGGTATAATTGAAACAGAGAGAGATGGAAACTGAATAGAGATGTGAGAAATGAGAAGAGGTATGAATAGCTCAAATTAAAGTGCGAGACAGATTAGGTACCTCGTTATCGATGTTTCTGTATATGCAGAGACCTTTACAAAATCATTGATATGTAACTAAAGTTTCGAAAAAGCACACTTGTCTATATCGCGCCAGACAGTACATGAACACTGCTAGAGTAACAGTGGTGATGTTACTCACCTTCCTCTTCAACCAATGCCCTAAGCACGAGGTGCATACAACTCTCACTGATGATTGCCTGCACCTTCCTATATCTGCTAGTATACCAGCATGCTTGTCTGTCGCTAAGCCTATGGCGTGCTGCTTAGCCGTGCTTGACTGGTCGCCTTAAATAGCTTTGTAACCTTAAATCTCCAGTCTTGCAGCATTCGCCATCTCTACATCAACCATGCCGGGAAAACCCCTCCACACTGATGCTGAGGTCTACGACTTCGTCCTCGTCGGAGCCGGATCAGCTTCTTGCTTAATCGCGTCACGTCTCTCGCAACAGCTACCTGACCACCGGATTCTTGTTCTAGAGGCTGGAGAGCATATCCGAAATGATCCTAAAGTGCAGATACCTGGTCTAGCCACGAGGCTACTGTCGGACCCCGCTTACGATTGGCGATACTCTTCTGCGCTGGAGCCGGGTTTGTATAACAGGAAGGTTGACCATCCCAGGGGAAAGCTGGTGGGTGGTAGCAGTGCAATTAATAGTCACAGTGTGGTGTTTCCTAACCACGAATGGCATGACCGTATGGCGGAGGAGCTTCTGTCAGATGCGGGGAGAGAAGAGTGGGGCTCACGGGGTATGAGTGATTGCTACAGAAGATGGCAGACTGAACAGTCCAGTCCAGCAGTAAATGACAATGGGGCATCTCTGGACCGTGTGAAAACATCATACCCGCGTACCTGGGATCTGCTTCAAACTCGGTGGGTCGAAGCTTTTGAGGAGCTTGGTTGTCCGACGAGGGCTACAGGGTTTACTGAGAGCTCCGCCGGAGCAGTCAATGTCACCAACGCGATCGATTCTTCAAAAGGCGAACGAAGCCATGCAGGTACAGCATATCTAGAACCTGCCTTGGGACGTGGCAATGTTACATTGAAGACTGGCGTAAAGGTCGATAAGATTGCATTCGATGAGCCATTGACTGCTGATGGAAAACTCAATGCGAGAGGTGTCCACTACACATACAAGGGGGAGGAACATCTTGTCAGTGGCCGAGAAATAATTCTCGGTGCAGGCGCATTTGAGTCTCCCCTTATCTTGGAACGATCAGGTATCGGATCCAAAAAGATTCTTGCAGACGCCAATATTCCCATCCTGTACGAGCTCCCAGGGGTCGGTGAAAACTTACAGGATCATCTGAACTGCAGCTTGTCGTGCGAAACCCAAGATGAAATCCCTACTCGTGACGAAATAATGCGAAACCCCGAATTGCAAAAGGCCGCATTGTTGGAGTACGAAAAAAGCCACACTGGTCGAGTGTCCGAAGGGGCCGCATATAGCTTTGCCTTTACACCACTACAGATGCTGGAAACCCCATCGGAGATACAGGAGCTTATCAACATAGTCGAGCACTGGGTGAAGAACGAGAGTAACCCAAGTCTAAAGACCCAGTATTCCATCATTCAGAAGACAGTCGAAAGTCCCAGTGAAGCAACGGCCACCTTATTCATGCTGCGTACACAACGTCACAAAGATGCTGATTCACTTCCCAAAGGCACACCATCTGTTGTCGATGGCAACTACATAACCGTTGTTGCAATGCTGGCCCATCCCTTTTCGCGCGGAAGCTGTCATACCTCGCCTACTTCTTCAGATCAGCCCGAGATAAGATTCAACTACCTTTCTCACCCCCTCGATACGGAGATACTGGCTCGTCACTTGCGTCTCATTGAAAAGCTCTTCCAGAAGCCTACCTTTGCTGCCATGACAAAGCCGGACGGAAGAAGATTGCCTCGAAGCTTCCCCCATCCGGTAACATCACTCGAAGACGCGAAAGGCATCCTCCCAATAAACTCCGCGACGAACTACCATCCGTGCGGTACTTGTTCTATGATGAGGGAAGATCTAGGTGGCGTAGTTGACGAGCGGCTTACTGTATACGGGACGAAGAATGTGAGGATTTGCGATGCGAGTGTCTTGCCAATCATCCCACGGGGGAATATTCTGACCGCTGTCTACGCTTTCGCTGAGAAAGCAGCCGAGATAATTGTTAGAGAGACGAAATCTGGTCTTCTTTCACGCCAAGGCACATGATCTTGACTTCGTCATTGTTCACTACTATGGTAATAGATGGAACTTGGGCGACTACTTCCTAGGTAGCACAAAAAAAGCAATATGCCTGGCTTTGATGATCCTCACTACTGTGTCTCCAATTTGGAAAAAGGTGTCAGATATGCTCTTGTCTAGTTACCGTTTCTGTCACATAGTAAGGATTGACATCTTTGGCTACCACTAGTTAGGGCAGCCAGAGTAACAGGTAGTGCTAGGCGTCACTCAGCTACTATCCCTTTGGTGTTGCCCGTCCCACCTTCCGGCCCGTCTATCATCCGACTGCGGCTGACGAGCGACAATAAATGGTTGGTGTGGCGTGCCCTATCCACATCATACCATACATATGTGGACTGAAACAAGTGGACAAGAAACTGCCCTGGTTACCAGAAAAGTGTACCTGGTCACAATTGGTTGTCTCTAACCTTACTCCCATGCACTTGGATTATTGTGTAAAGTTAATATCAGCTTTAGACAGCTACGTAAACCCGCGAACCCAGACAAACTTGCAATTGGAGCTGCACCCCTTTTCAGCACCATTTACGACTGGGTGCCAGTGTGATATTGGAGATCCAAAGTCGTGTATGCAGATGATAAGGGGCTTCACACACTCATGTGGCTTACTGTATGGTCAATCGACGGCTGCTGCCTAACAGCCACAATGCAATTGCTGGCAACATCCTCAAACGATACAGCAGCTGGGCCAACGACAATCAGCCACTGTCGCTAATGTGGGACACGAACCAGGAAACAACATACATGAGGCTGTGGTGTTAGTTTCTATTCGTGGGGACTTTGAGGCAAAGCCAGAGGGCCTGCTGCAGGTACGTACTCAGCCGCATGCAAGTTGCTCAGGGGTTTATGCTGTACCGTTACCTCATGCAAGGAGAGTTCCGGGCAGACTTACTCGAGAAGCGAGTGCGCCATGGACTTAAGCTGTGCAACGGCATTGCCTAGCGAAAGTCTTATTATTAGTTAGCCTCGGACCTACGTACATACCGAAGCATCGGAAACAGACTTCAGCGCAATTCCCCATAGTCATTGTAGCTGAGATACTAGCGGCTAGCGCGAAGAACAGCCAATACGGTTGTGGAGTGAACCGATGCACTCTTGTCAAATCTCCACAGTCCTGTGGCGGTTCGTATTTTTGTACAGCTGCAGGTGTTGATTTCGGTACAGGTCAGCACGATGTTTCCAACGTTGGTGTCAGCTTGTCACTGTCCCATCTCTAGTGGGCGCCAGGCGGGAAGAACGACTTAGGTGACTATGCTATGCTAGACGTGGTCGCCAAAATAGCAGCCACTCGGATTTGAGGCTCAACCCCTTTCGCCTTTGTTCACTACCGTGTGCACGACTTCGTCCTCGTTCATAATCCTACTACCCCTAGCATCGTCGTCTCTTTAAGCTGATCCTATGCAATCCAGATAAACATTTATGGGGCTTCAAAAAAGGGTCATTAAGAAACCAATAACCCAATAGTAGAAGCAGGAGCCCACGATAGCCTTGCTGCGCCGCTTTGGCATATCTGTATACGGGCAAGCGTGCGCTAGACGCCCCAAATGGGGGACGCTAGGGCGAGAATGAATGTGGCGCATCCCCTATGAGGGTCTGTTCTTTGGCGAACACCATAAGCGAACACGCATCTTGGTCCTGGCTTCAATCGCTGCGGGGTTGAACAGCATTTGCCATGCTAGGCGCTACCACGTATCTCGCATTGGACAGGTTTGACAAGTACGAACTGTATTTGAAGTCTTCCGACAATGTTCGAGCGTAAACGCTGGTGGCTTCGCTGTCTGTCTGCTGCGAGCTGATGTCAAGTCTACCCACCAACTCAGACTCGAGACGTACGAGGGACGCACGAGTATACGCGATGCCGATCTTGAAGTTCGCGCTATTGACGGCTCGAAGCGCTGAGACCATAGAGTCTAGGCCTATAGACAGGCAATACTGGTGCCATGAACAACGACGCTTCACCCAACTAGCACTCGGCAGCTAGCACTCGACTCCAACGACCTGGCAATGTGGAAATACATCCACACAGAAAGGGATGTCTTGAACTCCATGACTCGCTTTTGCGACTCATCCCATGCACAACGGAATACCCGGATGTTCAAGTCGTTGCCTGTGGAATCGAAAACTCACGAAGCTACTGAGCAAACAATCAATCAATGGAAGAAGAGCTACCTCCAATGATGCAAAAGCAAGTCTCCAAGTAGATATGGAGTCTCACAAGGCTGCACAGATGTAGGGCATCAGTTCGAGTTTCAGCCTTGTGCCTGAAAGCTTGCATATCGTATTCGCAACGGCATCAGACTCAAGAGTGCCTAGCGGGTCTCGTTCAATGCGGTAGCGCTACGGGTGCAGATCGAATCAAGGGCACGATGGAAGCTTTTGCAACCTCAGGGGCAAGTCTGTCCGAGACCGAGCTCTGCTTGTTCAGGTGAGTATATATGTATCATTGTTTCTCTTCATACATTCTCCATCTTCACGATCCTCTCAATCAATCAACATCTTTCGCACTCTCGAGTGACGACGACATTCCTTTTTTCCTTATCAACTTACCCCAGTCATTCGTTATCCACGATCTTTATTTATACGTAATACTTAACTCTACTAATTCATCACAATGAAGTACGCCATCATCTTCGCTGCCACCGCCGCAGCCCACCAGGCCTACGGCGGATATGGTGCCGATGCTCACTCCAGCGTCGAGCCAAGCACAACCGCAACCCCCGTCGGTTACACCACCGTTGTTCCCGGCTATGGCAAGCAGCCTGTCACCGTGACCACCCAGAACCAGGCGTACCCCACCTGTGTGACTCCTGCTTATGGCGAGAAGGACTGTGCCAAGTGGGGAGAGGACACCTACGTCTCCACTGTCATCAAGGACTACGACAACAACTACGCTACCGTCACCAACACTGAGCAGCCAGTCGTTGTCTACCACACCAAGACGACCATCACTCACTCTGCTACTGGAACTGGTGGCTATGCCGCCCCCACTGGCACCGCCTCCAAGAACGGCACTGCTGGCTGCTGGTACGAGCTCTATGAGAAGATTGAGGAGGTTCCATACAAGAACCTTGGCCCCAAGGCTCTTCCCGGATACGGTGGCTCTGGTCTCTACACCAAGGGTGACAAGGAGCAGCCCGTTCACGTCAAGGAGTACAAGGGCGGAAAGTGGTCCGAGTACGATCACGTCTACTCCTATGGCGAGCCCAAGCCAGAGGTCAAGGTTTACGAGAAGCCTGGTGTCTACGTCGTCCCCAGCAAGGACATGGTAGTTGACCACCCTGTCGACCACCCTGCTGAAGCTACTACCACTGCCAAGGCTGGTGAGACCTGCACCTACGGTGGACAGTCCGTCACTGCCACTCAGACTGGCTACATCACCGCCCCCTACGCTGGCTACAAGACCAAGGTTGAGGGTGGCAAGACCATGACCGAGACTGTCATCGAGTACACCACCATCTACGCCTCGACCACCGGTACCTACGAGGTCACCAAGCCCACCACCACCGTCTACGACCACGACACTGAGGTCACCTACCCCACTGCCCAGCACTACGATGCTGGTGTCTACCACCAGCCAGCCCAGACTGTCACCATCACCTCTGCTGGCCAGGCTTACACTTGCGAGTATGAGAAGACCAAGGCTACTCCATCCCCCATGGTCCCTGGACACGGCAAGACCTACGGTGGAAGCAACTACGGCTCTTACCCAGCCCACAACAGCTCTTCCATTGCCTATGAGCACTCTTACCCAGCTTCCTCTAGCCCAGCTTCGTACGGCTCTCACCCAGCTGCTTCCACTCCTGCTGCCTACGGTTCCTACCCAGCTGCTTCATCCCCAGCTGCGTACAAATCTTACCCAGCTGCCTCCTCCCCAGCTGCTTATGGCTCCTACCCAGCTGCGTCCAGCCCAGCTGCCGTCCACTCCAAGCCAGCCCACTACGGCGGAAACAACTACGGTGCCTACTCCGCCTCTACCATGAGCACCGTCCCCGTCCAGGCCTACTCCACCCCCGCTGCCCACTACCCCGTTGGAAGCACCTCCTCTGCCCCCGTTGAGCACTACGGATCCAGCGCCAGCTCCACTCCTTGCGAGAGCTCCACCGCCCCTGCTGCCTACAAGACCCAGCCTGCTGGATACCCTGCTTCTTCCAGCCCAGCTGCCTACGAGCACTCCTACCCCGTAGTCTCCTCCCCTGCCGCCTACGGCTCTCACCCAGCTGCCTCTTCCCCAGCTGCTTACGGCTCGTACCCTGCTGCTTCTTCCCCGGCCGCTTACCAGCCTGCTCCCGCCGTCTCTTCTCCCGCCGCCTACGGTTCCTACCCAGCTGCTTCTTCCCCAGCTGCCTACCAACCCGCTTCCAGCCCAGCTGCCTACGGCTCGTACCCAGCCGCTTCCTCCCCAGCTGCCTATCAGCCTGCCCCAGCTGTCTCCACCCCGGTAGCTTACCAGCCCGCCGCTACCCCCACCCCGGCCGCCTACAAGAACACTCCTTCTAACAACGAGTACTCATCTGGCTCCGGTGCTTACGGCAGCGGTGACAAGTCGTCTGAGAGCTACTCTAACTACGCTGCTTACTAAAGTAACATAGTAGTATAGATATTTTGTTGTGTTTTTTTTCTTCTCCTAGAGTTGAGATGAGTGGAGTTTGGAAAGTGTGGTGGAAGATGAAAAAAAATAGAGAGAACGAAGATGGAAAAGAGATTGAAATGTTGGATTTTTATTTTAAAAAAAAATAAACAATGATATTCTCATCTCGTCAACATTTTATTTTTTGATCTCCCCCAAAATCTCATTCGTGTGACACTACTATCATTTTCCCATACCCTTCAAATACGCCTCCCACCCCCCTTCAGCCAACAAACCATCCTTACGCAACACCTCCTTCTCATTCCCCTCCATCCACACCCTCAACCGCTCGCGAATCGCTTTATCCTCTGCGCCCAAGATCCTGACAGCAAGCAACGCCGCATTCGTCGAATTATTAATACCAACCGTAGCCACGGGTTCACCTCGTGGCATCTGCGTCATACTAACAAGACTATCCCATCCATCCATATGCGTAGCCTTGACCGGCAACCCAATGACGGGCAGCGTAGTCCAGGACGCGCACATACCAGGGAGATGGGCAGCGCCGCCAGCCGCGCCGATGATGACCTTGAGGGAAGTCTGGGATGCGGATTTTGAGAATTCGCGGAGCCAGTCCGGGGTACGGTGGGCAGAGGTGATGCGTGTGGTGAAGGGGATTTGGAGTTTGGTGAGGATTTCGAGGCCGGCGCGGAGGACGGGGAGGTCAGAGTCTGAGCCCATGATTACAGCGACGAGAGGGTCTTCTTTGCTGTTGGTGCCGGTGTTTTGGGGGTCGACAGTTTTACCCTTTTGGGTGTCGACAAAGTCGATGAGGGGTTGGATTTCGCGCTCGGCGGCGGCGAGCGTGGGTGCTGTTACGGTGATGTGGCCCATTTTGCGGCCTGGACGTGCGTCCCCCTTGCCGTAGAGGTGGATTGAGGCGTTGGGAGAGTCGAGGGCTTTCTTTGCTACCTGGACGTGGGAGTCTGGTGTCTTGCCGCCGAGGATGTTGAGCATAATGGCAGGTTCCCGGAGGCGGAGGTTGGATTGTGAGATTGGGAGGTCGAGGATCGCGCGGAGGTGAGCATCGTATTGTGATATTGGGCAGGCCTCGATTGTGTAGTGACCGGAATTGTGTGGACGAGGCGCAATCTCGTTGATGAGTAGGCGATCGTCCTTGAGGAGGAACATCTCGACACCGAAGACACCCTTGCCTTCGAAGGCGCCGATAGCCTTCTTAGCCAGCTCTTGAGCTTGCTGTGTAATCTTTTCTGATACGTTTCGTGGAGGCGCATATGTGAGCTTGCAGATGCTGTCCTCGTGTACAGTTTCTACGGTGGGAAATGTGAGCACTCCATCCTTGGTCTTGACAATCATGACTGCCAGCTCCATTCTAAAGTCAGCCCATCGCTCTGCGTAAAGCGGTCGCTTGCCCAATGCTTCGAACGCCGCACCAACATCTGCCTCGCTCTTGACCACAAAGTTTCCTTTGCCATCATAGGCTTCTGTCTTGCTCTTAAGCATGAAGGGATATCCATACGATGACCCCACTTCTTTGAGTCCCTCGATTCCTTTACCCTCAAGATCAATACTGTCGGCGACATCGACTCCATGCTCTTTCAGATACTGCTTTTGCGCATATTTATCTTTGATCGTTCGCAGTGTCTTCCAACTGGGTTCAACAACGACCTCTCCAGCAACCTCTTCGAGCATGTGGGTGTCCACGTGCTCAATTTCCACGGTAACGACATCGGAAGATTGCGCAAGTTGCTTTACAGCAGCCGCATCCTTGAAAGACCCCTCAATATGTCCACTGTGCGCCGAGATCTGCTTTGCGGGTGTTGCTGCTCCGTCCAGTACGTTGACTTGAATGTTTAAGCGATTTGCGGCTTCAATGAGCATGCGACCGAGTTGGCCTCCGCCCAGTACACCAACTTTGCGAGTGTCGACCATTTTGCAGATGTTGATGTTCAAGTCACTGCCGTGCTGCAGTGACTAGGTTGGGTCATTACGTGGGTGAGAGTTGCTAGCGCTCTGGTTGGTTGGATGCGGGGGAACCGCAAGAAAATTTGACACAAAGATCCCGACATCAGTGATTGTATCCTGGGTTACCGAATGCGGAAAAGTAGTCCAGTAAAAAGTTGTACAGTACTAAAAACATTGCAATACATCACTAAATACGCCTGTTTCACGATGAGGTACTGATATTCATGGGTTGACCATGAGCTCGAAGAGCCCGTTCGTATGCTTTCATTTTATGTTGAGCATCGAGTATCTTTTTATAGGCCTTCAAAGAGCCATTCCTAGTCATGATGCACGCCTCATAAGTGAATTCCCATGACCTTGACCACGCCAAACCAGAGAAACCGAACCACTTGTAGCACACGCTTAGACCTTGAAACCACGAGACCTTCTGCGACCACGGGCACGCTCGAACTTGCGGCCCTTGCTCTCGACGTAAGGCTTCTTGCCAGAGTGGGGACCGAAGCCGAAGTGCTTGAAAGCCTCACGGGCGTTCTTGGGTCCACGGAGGAGGAGGGTGTTGGAACCAGTGGGGGAGCGAGTGGCAACCTCGTCGATGGTGAGGGTCTCACCACCAGCCTTCTCAATGCGCGCGCGAGCGGAGGCAGTGAAGCGGAGAGCCGCAACGGAGAGCTTGGGGAGCTCGAGCATGCGGTTGTCGTCAGTGACGGTACCGACCTGATCCTGAGTTAGCTAGTCATCGGGGGTGTAGTATTCGGAAGCCGTACGATGACAATGGTCTTGCCGTCGTGTCCCTTGGCGTTGGAGACGATCTTGGAGAGGGAGACCGGCTGTATCATGTCAGTTGTTATGTCGACAGGCTTTGGTGCCATTGGCGTCTTACGGGACGGTTGGTCTTGGACATCATGAGGCGTCGCAGAACGGTCTTGTTGAAGGGGGCATCGGTGCGGCCTGTTCACAGTTAGCACAGATTGTGCGCGCGATTCCAGTCGGAGTACTTACGAGCCAGGAACTTGTACAGACGCACCAACAGCTTGACGTAGGGGTTGGTGGACTTGGGGACCTCTGTATACTCGTCAATCTCTCTCCTCTCTCGGGCTCATGTTGCGTCTAAAAGACTGCTATCGCCAGCGCATTTCTGCGCCGACTCGACGGGGGGTTCACATACTGCGGTGCCCGTCTCGAACATGGTGGCGGTCGAGGTCAATTCCCATTTTGACTGATTTTGAGCGTGTTGTGCTGGGGGTTAGTAACGACTGAAGAAGTGAAGTTCTCGCGAACACGAAATTGCGAAATAGGCCAGACTTGGCGTGGTGTGGCCCGTGCGAAGCGAGGACATTTCAACTCCACCTGCACGCGCCTCCAAAGTGCCCTCGCTAGCGCTGGTCAGCATCTCCGCTGGATCTACAAACGGTGGATGACGTTCAGGACCCTGGGTTATCGTTCTCTGGTGATGTTGTCTGGATTATCAGTAGTCATACCATGTGGATAAATGTAGGGCGTTGGTATAGAAAAGGGAGAGACATGAAGCGAAGCTTGAGAAGTCCAACAAGCACTTTTTTCTTCACTATCTACCTCGAAGCTGATTGACTGGGTTGACTTGTTCACACTTGAGGTTGCATCTCATCACACGAAAAAGAATCATTTGCTTCACAAGCATTATCATTATGTGGCTAGAAGGTATATACCTTTCGCTCGCAGTCGCTGTGAATGCCTGCAAGATCTATATCCGACAAAAACGCATCACTTCATCGTTTCCCTATTGTGCCCAAAGCTCCATCCTGAACCAACGAGCTTCCCAAAGCAGGCTCACTCTGGCTGAGAGAAACCCACTAGTCTATATGTATCATACCAATCACCATACACCTCGAGCCTGCTCCAAGTTGACAATAAAAAGACAAGAAAAGAAGAAGAAGGCGCGACATGGTAGCAAAGTGCGTCGACAGACGTGCGGAAGACTTCTGATAGCGTGCACTAGTTATTGAAAAGCGCTTTATACAGCCTTGTCGCCAATGAGCTTGCCAATACCGTTGTAGACCTGGTTGGTCGACTCGGGGGCATAACGTGGTCCAAGGGAGCCAAAGATGAAGAACATGGAGATGATGACGGCGGTGAAAACCATGAGCTTGCGGAGAACAGGCCTGCTGTGGCCGAGCTCTTGCCACTTCATGCTACCCTGGCCGAGGTACTCCTTGAGCTTCTCACCACCAAGCTTGTAGTAAACGAGGCCACCGAGCGCAATGCTGTAACCAAAGGCCTGGAGAAGACTGACGGGGTCCTTGAAGAGGAACATGGAGGCGAAGACGAGGAGAATGTCCTTGAGTACACCGGACAGAGTGAGGACGAGCGACGAGGTCTTGCCAATCTGGAAACTTGTGAGCAGGTGTGTTTCGTGCAGGTGTAAACAATGAACGTACCAGGAAGACGACAGAGACGTTGAGCAAGAAGGCAACGGAGGCGTTGGCCAACAGGGTGAAGAGACCGACGCGGTCGATGTCAGCCATGGTCATCGAAGGGAGCTCAGTGAAGAGCAAGATGGCACCGTTGATAACAGCGCAGGCGGGGGCGTAGTAGTAGAGTGAGACGAGGGGATCCATCTTGAAATCGGCGCCGCTGAGCAGACGCTGGACCATGACCAAGCGGATAGCCTCGAAAGCGATACCAGCAGCCTGGAACAGGAAACCAGTCATGACAAACTTGATCTCACCCATCGAGGCAACAACGACACCAATGACAATGAAGGACACGTTTCCGAGCGTCTTCAGATTGACAGGCGAAACACCAAGACCCCAGGTGGTGAGCAAGACAGCGACGGGCATAGTAGCCTTGTAAAGTTAGCATCTTTGTGTTGACTGTAGAATCATGTCGACATACCTTGAGCATCTGAATAAAGGCAACACTCAGGTACAAGTAGGCCTGGTTACCGCAGATCAAACTCATGCTGAAGAAGATACCGATAGGGACAATAGCTCGCAGATAGACACGGCCGTTCATGGGCACCTTCTTTCTTGAGTCGAGGATGGTGGTGAAGCGGGCGAGGATTTGCGTCATGATAGTCGCAAAGACCAGATGCCATGTTGTGAGGAAGATTGGAAAGTCTGTTTGGGATCGCTGTCAGTATGCGCTTATGGGACAGGGGCGGGAGGTGGTAGACGTACGGAACTTGGCCGTGTCGAGGATGTACTTGTTGAAGACGATTGTGCTGGAGCTGAGCGTGATCCATGTGCTGCGTATCGATTAGCGTGCGTTGTGGAGAAGGCAGTGGTGTGTGAGACATACGCAATGTAGACGGCGGGATGGAAGGTCGGCGGCTCAGGCGCGGACTTTTGCGCATCGGGGTTGACGGTGGGCAGGACTGGCAGAGCAGTGTCGCGGGAGGCCTCGACGGAGGACCTCACCTTCTCGTCTTGAGACATGGTTGGTAGCTAACGAGGGACTGTGGATAGGCAGAAGGTGAGAGGGAGAGGGAGGGAGGGAGAGGGAATTGTCGGTGGCGGAGGTGTCGAGGAGGAGATGCGGCGATCGGGGGTGGGAGCAGAGTTGTGGTTGAGGTTACAATGATGGGCGGACTAGCGCCGCTGACTGATGAGGGTCTTGCGCGTCAAGGGTAGAATGAAACGGTGCAACACAAACGTGGCACAGGGTACGGGTCTTGGACGAGGGCTCTGCGCACTGGAGGCAACAAGGAGATGAGGAGCGGCAGAATTGTTGGGAGGCAGCGTGAATGTGATGGTAATGGGTTAGGCGCTAGTGAAGGGAGGGGCGGAGCGGAAATTCAGCCAGAGGAGCTTGTACTCTCTAGAACGGGGGGGCGCACAGGGGGTGTCTCTCTGCCTCTACCCTACTGGGCAACGGTTGACTATTGTACTCGCGCCGATAGCAGGGAGCATGACGATTCCGCCGCGGGTGTGATTGCGGCGATGGCGACGTGAAACGGATCTGCTGTGGAGCCGGGCATTGGACGCGCAATCGGCCAGCGTTGCGAGCCTTGGTTCTGGCGGCGAAATTTTTGAGCCGCGCTGGGCAGAGTGGTGTGGGTGTGGGTATGGACGTGGGTGAAAGGCGTACGTACGCGTACCGTGGCCGCCCTGCAGAGCCGCTTTGCATTGCAGGCACAGTAGACATGGTCCATGACGCGCGACATGGCAAAAGGGCAGGCCTAGCGACACCCAGCCATGGCCGTGGCAAGCCATGCAATAGGGGGGGCGGGCATGCATCTTGTCGTTGAGCAATCTGTACACGCTTGATTACACCGTCGCACTAGCACGACACGCACAGCTCGTGGCCCGTGGGCCGTGGATCTGAAGCTGTAAGTCTCCAAGAGATAGACGCGGTTGCCCGCCTACTAGTCGGCTGAGAATATGGTACGGTACACACACATAGGTGTACATGCACATGTCGTCAGTGTACATGCTACATGTGTACTTAGTTTGATCGCAGCATTATGCCCGTCTGGGTTGATGGATTGCCTTGTTCCCACGGGAGCGTGCATGGGGGGAGCACATACACACACACACACACACACACACACACACACACACACAGCACAGCACAGCACAGCAATCACCCGCTACCGCTACCGCTGTCGCTGTAAGTAGTAAGTAGTAGTATACCTACTTGTCTCGATACTCGACACCGTTGGTCGGCGGTGCACACGCGCTATGCGAGCAGCATCCAAAACAACAGGCAGGTGTTGTACAAAGTTGGAACCAATCGATGCGCCCACGAGCAGCCACGGTTGCTGCACTGACGGGGCCCCCATGGCGGCCTGCCCCTTTTCTGCCGTCGAGCCTCTCTTGGACATGCAGACGCTCTCCAGCCCACTCCTTCGCCGTCTGGCCCCTCCACTACCCTACCCTGGACCCACTTATAACAGTATCCTCCTTGGCGTCCCTAGTTCCTCTCCAGCTACTCTATATTCCTCCCACCCACGCCCCAGCACTTCTTTGGCCACTGCTCCTCGTAGCTTCACACATATACATGCTCAACCTCGCTCGCCAGACACTAAAGCGAGTTCCAAGTTTCCAAGAAATCCTCCAGGGCACCATGGGATCCGCAAAGGAAGAAATGTACGTTCACCGCCCAGCCCACCTTGCTCTTTTCCCCTCCCCTCCCCTCTCCTCTCCTCTCCTCTATCTCGCTCAAACTGACAATCCCAAAGTTCTGTTGACGTCCTCGTCATCGGCGCTGGCCCAACCGGTCTGGGTGCCGCAAAGCGTCTCAACCAGATTGTAAGTCTACCCCAGTCTGCAACACGGCTCTGCCCTCGTGCTAACAACCCCAGGATGGCCCCTCATGGCTGATCGTCGACGCCAACGAGACACCTGGTGGTTTGGCCTCGACAGACACCACTCCAGAGGGCTTCGTAAGTATCCCGCCTGCCAATTGGCTTTCCACTCCTAACCACGCTCCAGCTCTACGATGTTGGTGGCCATGTCATCTTCTCCCACTACAAGTACTTTGACGACTGCATCGACGAGGCCCTGCCCAAGGAAGATGACTGGTTCACCCACCAGCGCATCTCCTACGTCCGCTGCAAGGGCCAATGGGTCCCCTACCCATTCCAAAACAACCTGTCCATGCTGGGCAAGGACGACCAGGCAAAGTGCATGGACGGTCTGATTGATGCCGCCCTCGAGTCTCGCGTGGCAAACACCAAGCCAAAGAACTTTGACGAGTGGATCGTCAGGCAGATGGGTGTCGGCATTGCCGACCTCTTCATGAGGCCATACAACTTCAAGGTCTGGGCTGTGCCCACCACCAAGATGCAGTGCGAGTGGCTTGGCGAGCGTGTCGCTGCACCCAATGTCAAGGGTGTCATGTACAACATCATCCACGGCAAGACTGCTGGAAACTGGGGCCCCAACGCCACCTTCCGCTTCCCCGCACGAGACGGTACCGGTGGTATTTGGATCGCTGTCGCCAAGACGCTGCCAGAGTCCAAGACACGATACGGCGAGAACAGCAAGGTGACCAAGGTCGATGCCGATGGACACAAGGTACACCTCAAGGACGGCACCGTCGTCAACTACAAGAAGCTCATCAACACCATGGCTGTTGACTCCCTAGTCGAGACCATGGGTGACAAGGAGCTCATTGACCTCAGCAAGGGTCTCTACTACTCCACCACCCACGTCATTGGTGTTGGTCTTCGTGGCGAGCGCCCAGAGCGCATCGGCGACAAGTGCTGGCTGTACTTCCCCGAGGACGACTGCCCCTTCTACCGTGCCACCATCTTCTCCAACTACTCACCCTACAACCAGCCGCAAAAGGACGTCAAGCTCGCAACCCAGCAGCTCGCCGACGGCTCCAAGCCCAGCTCCACCGAGCCCAAGGAAGGCCCATACTGGTCCATCATGTTGGAGGTTGCCGAGTCTGGCATGAAGCCCGTCGACCGAGAGAACCTGCTCAAGGACTGCATTCAGGGTCTCATCAACACCGAGATGATCAAGTCCGACGACGAGATTGTCTCGACCTACCACCGCGCCTTTGACCACGGATACCCTACTCCTTCGCTTGAGCGTGAAGGCGTCCTCACCAAGCTTCTCCCTGCCCTTCAGGCAAAGGACATCTTGTCGCGTGGCCGCTTCGGTTCATGGCGCTACGAGGTTGGTAACCAGGACCACTCATTTATGTTGGGTGTCGAGGCTGTAGACCACGTTGTCAACGGAGCTGTTGAGCTTACCCTCAACTACCCCGACTTTGTCAATGGTCGCAAGAACGAGGAGCGTCGTCTCGTCGACGGTGCCCAAATCTTCACCAAGCCTTCTCTTGCGCTGAGGAACAAGGGTGTTGACTAGACGCATACACAAGGAATGCTGGGCATGTTATGGATTTTGAGAGATGTTTACAGGATACCACGCTTATTTACGAAACGGACGGCATGGAATAGGGAGTCGGCGCATGTGTGCATGTTTGGACTGTAGGTAGATAGATGGTTGTTGCATCTGCACAGCATCTAGTCGATGTTGGCAGTGATAATGGATAGACATTACCTTTTTGCCAAGTCACGCTTTTTCTTGGATTTGTTGTCTCTTGTGATTGTCTTGTCTTGTCTTGTCAGTGCTTTCTCTACTCGCTTCGTACCCCAGCAAACCCCCGTTCCTGCGTCCACCCATCCATTCATGCACATTCCATTTCCATGATCTACAACATTCCTCCGCTTAATTTAACCCCCACTCACCTTATCCCATCCGCCCTCCCCCACTAGGAACAAAAGAGCACATCACAATAACCACCCGACTGGACGACGTATACCGATGACGCAATCACATCCGCAAAAATTTAGAACAAAACCTCTCTCCCACCGGTTTAAATCCATGAATCATGCAACATATCCCAACTTACTTTGGGTAAGTAGATTCGGGAGAATTATAAGAAAGAAAAAAGTGAAATAACATGACCGCTCTTCATGATTTCCAACGGCGGCGGCGCCGCCCCGGTGTGAATGGGGTTTTTTTTCATTTTTTCGGTCCGATTTATAGCATGTGTTTTTTTTGTTTTTTCTTTGCACTTTTCCCTGTCTGCGTATCTATAGTACTACTAGTTACTTGTATGATGATTAACCCCCCCCCCCCCATTGCTAGCTATCTTCGCTAAAAGGAAGGAGAGAAGAAGAAAAAAGGTAGTTATGGGTGTTTTGCGTGATGAAATCGAGTGAAAAACAGGAGCAAACGAAGTGTGTGATTTCGTGGAAGTTGAGAGACGAAAGTTTTTTTTTAAAAAAAACTGAAAACTGGGGGATATAATAACTAGTAGGCAAAAAAAAAGTTCCGATATGAAGGAAACGTGGGAGAAAAAAAATTGCTAATAAATCTGGTACTATCTGGCTTCTAGGTGAGGAGAGAAAGCTGATATGGCGCGTACAAGCATGTGCACGTGTGCTTGCATGTATACGTGGTAGTGTAAAATATGTGGGGGAAAAAAAACCCATGTGTTTGGGAAATGAGAAGATGCGCAATGCGACATGACAAGACGCGTAAGTCTCGGGGGTTTGGTGTTTATTTTTATACATTATGTTCATGTGGTCTCACCTTATTCTCGATTTAATTAATATGGAAATGCCTTTTTTTTTCTTTTAATGGGATTGTTTTCTTGGATGTGGTTTGAAGTTAAATGGGTGGTTTCGAGTTTTGATATGGTGTAGAATGAGAGAGATTGAGGGTGGGGATTCGGAGATATGCATGGGTACGTAGGTAGGTTTGGAGGGCAGGATGCGGAATGCGGTGAGGAAACCAAAGAGTGCACGTGGAAGCATGAGGCTTTTTTTGAGGAAAAGAGGCCCGGGATCGTCGATCCTTCGGTATCGCTGCTTTATCTGGATAGAGAGATAATGGAGAGCTAAGAGCCTTGGAGTGTAAGTAAGTATGTAATTTTAATGGTGCAGCTACTATATAATCACGTGATTGCTGTTTGATTCGTGTACATGATACGTACAACAGGGCATTGACCACATGTATCTCATGCTTTGCTCGCCCTAAACTTCCTCAAAACCTCCCTCTCTTCTTCGTTTTGCGCAATGCTCTCCTCATCACCGACGGGTAGGCGTTGGTGCTTCCATTGCTTGCCTCCGGCACCGTACTCGGCGCTCACTTGTGCATCGCCTACAATCACCCATTTGTATATCGTCAAGCCTTCTAACCCGACAGGCCCTCGCGAGTGAATCTTGTTCGTGCTGATACCGACTTCAGTCCCGAATCCATATCTCTGCCCATCAGCCATGCGAGTAGACGTATTCCAGTATACGCTAGAAGAGTCCACGGCTGCGAGAAACGACTTGGCTGTGGGTTCTGATGTAGTCAGGATGGCGTCGGTGTGGTGAGATCCGTGTGTATTGATGTGAGAAACGGCTTCTTCAACATTTGCGACGGTCTTGATAGCAAGAATGTAGTCCAGAAACTCGGTATCGTAGTCTTCAGGCCCTGCTTCCTGTAGCAATGCTGCCGAGTGAGGATCCAATTTGCCTTTGAGCGCGATCAGGGACGCATTGTCGCAACGAAGGGAGACGCCCTTTTGTAGAAGCGCTTCTGCAACGACGGGGAGACTGGTGCTGAGGGCTTCTTCCTCTACAAGGAGTTGTTCAAGTGCATTGCAGCCTGCAGGATAACTCGTCTTTGCATCAAGGATGATCTTGGTGGCCTTGTCGGCAGGGTAGTCGGAGCATAGATAGGTGGAGCATATACCGTCAGCGTGGCCGAGAACCGGGATTGTGGTCGTGTCTTTGACGTAACGGACTAGTTTATTGCCGCCGCGGGGAATACACAGGTCAATGTAGGTATCTTGTTTGAGGAGATCGGCAATGACATCGTGGGTTTGAACTAGTTGGAGGCAGTCTGATGGTACTGCAGTTGATGCCAAGGCCTTTGAGATGATGGACGCAATTGCCGCAAAGCTGTTGCTGGATTCGCGACCACCTTTGAGAATGGCGGCATTCCCGGATTTTATTGCAAGCGCGGAGATATTGGCAATGACTTCGGGTCGTGCTTCGAAGATGATGAGCAGTACGCCAATTGGACACGTGATTCGCGACAGGACCAAATTGTCGTCAAGTAGTGTCTTCGCAGTCGTCTTGTTGATGGGGTCTTCCAAGTCTCGTACATCCAGTATGCCCTGGAGCATATCCTCATATTTGCCCGGCTTGCCCAGATCCAGCCTCTTTACCAAGCTCGCGCTGAGCGTGCCTCCTGCTGCAGCCTTGTTGGCAGCCTCGAGGTCCTGAACATTGGCAGCTAGTACTTCATCCTTGGCATTCGCCAGTGCATCGTGGATGGCTGTCAGGGCGGCATTCCGCTCGTCGGTAGATAGGACGGCCAGTTTCCGGGACCCGAGTCTAGCTGCCTGTGCAACCTCGAGCGGTGTGGCGTTGGTCAGAGACATTTCTTCTCCTTGGGGGTTGCTTTTGCCGGGTGGTGGTGGTGAGATGTGGTAAAATGGCCAAAGTCTTCGGATGCGTGTGACTCAATTCAATATTGATGGAGTGACGAGGGGCCTAACGCCGGGTATGCAGGGTCTGTTTCCGCTGCGGATGCTATTGGAGATGCCACTGCGGGTCGTACATATGCGGAGATGGCGAGGAAGCCTAAAAAAAGCGACAGGACTCGTGGTGGGATGAACGTGGTGGTGTTGCGGGGTCTAGATGCATGACGCCACACCCGCCCGCATGCGAACCAGGGTGTTCTCCTCTTCTCACACCAACCACCACCCTGCTGACCGCGCTCTTATTGCTCGCATCCTGGATCGCAGCCCAACTCGATCGCTGACAGCTTTCAATAAGTTTCCGGCTTCGTCATAGGCCGGGGGCTCTGGACACGCACCAAGATTGCGTGTTGGCAGCAGCGTCTGGCGGTCGAGTGCTCGGCAGGGGTTTGGTGTGGCTGGGTGCGCCTACCAACCACCTCGGCGTCGCCTTGCCAACCTCGCCCAATTCCATCCACTCCCGTATCGCAACAAGCAAGCCTGACCGCACTATCCCAGTTTCACTTGCAGCCCACTACGTAGGTCACCGCTCAGAGATGGCTGGGACTCTACAAAAGCTGCAGGGTCGCCGGCCACAGGGCCTGCCACCTCTGCACACTGCTTCCCGACCGCCTCTCAAGTGCTGAGAAGGTACCCTGTCGCACTTGACCTTCACGCTACTCACGTGCATACCCGCCAGTGCGCCGTAGACCGCTGTAGCGTCTCTTGCCATCATTCGTTTGACTGCGTCCGTCTTCCAATCTATCTCACACCGCTATCGCTATCGGCCGTCACCTTCACTAAGATGCGTTCTACAACAAGGGCCCTCGCAGCTCTGCTCTCAACTGTTCTATACGTTCCCTCTGCAGCACAAACATGGTCCAACTGTAACCCGACCCTACGAAGCGACTGCCCTCCAGACTCCGCGTTGGGAAGAACAGTAAACATTGACTTCAGCTCAAAGTCCGACAGTTTCACTCCTCAGGGCAACCCAACCTATGGCTCCGATGGCGTATCCTTTACCATCTCAAAGGCTGGCGATGCCCCACAGCTCACTTCGCTATGGTACATAATGTTCGGCAGGGTAGACATTCAACTCAAGGCTGCACCGGGCGCGGGCATTGTTAGCAGCTTTGTCTTGCAATCCGACACCCTTGATGAAATTGACTGGGAATGGCTTGGTGCAGACCCTGATGAGGTTCAGTCAAACTATTTTGGAAAAGGTAAGATATGATCGAGTTTATCGAGCCATGCATACATCAACCTTTAAAGTTACTTGCTAACATCCATCCAGGTCAGACAACTGACTATAACCGTGGTGCTTTCCATTCAGACCCGGGTAGCCAATCCAACTTCAAGACATATACGATCATCTGGACACCAGAGCAAATTGTATGGCAGATTGATGGCAACACTGTGCGCACTCTTGAACCCGCCAACGCCAACAACCAGTACCCCCAGACACCTATGCAGGTCAAGTTTGGCTCCTGGAGCGGTGGTGACCCAGCGAACCCTGCCGGAACTATCTCTTGGGCTCGTGGTCCTACCGACTACTCCAAGGGACCTTTCACCATGACTGTCAAGTCCCTCAAGGTCCAGGACTACTCCACTGGTTCCCAGTATATCTACGGTGATCAATCCGGTACTTGGAAATCCATCAGATCCAATGGTGGTGCCGTTTTTGCGGGAGGTAAAGCTCCAGTTGCAAACGCACCCGCAGTCACCGCAACAGCTAATGGCGCCCCTCTGCCTTTTGCTCCTCACCAGACCAACGCCGAGCGCCCCAGCGTTTACCCCTGGATTCCTGACCCGAACGCTACTCCCACTCCTCAGCCCACATTTGCAAACTATCCTGGCCTTCCGAGTGGGTGGACTGTTTCCAATACCGGAAAGGTGATTCCACCCAGCTCAGCCACTGTCAGTAAGCCATTTCTTCAGCAGTTCCTCCACTTTGCCACCAGTATACTGACCTGACTTTTGTAGATGTCCCCTCCAGGTTCCTCTATCTCATCGCCGCAAGCTTTGCCTACGGATTCCTCCGGCAATGGGCCTAAGACTGTAACCGGCTACGACGACCATGGCTTCACGACAATTCGCACAATCTTCCCCGAAGCCACGCCAGCACCCTCGGGTAACGCACCACAGGGCAACGCTGGAGAGGCGGTCCCTGCCGCTCCCTTGGCAGCAAGTTCTTGGACCCTTGTCATCTCGAGCATACTGCCCTGGGCAATTGTACTCCTCCATATTCCAACCTGCCTCGGCTTCTAGGCGAGTTGGGAGAACGTATGGTATACCGTGGACTTCGGACCAGCCTATTCTATCCTCGGTGCTGGTATCGTCGCGATGTTTGCATGTCTAATGAAATGCATTACGAAGGGATATATTGGTTTCAAAATCTCCATCAAATTGTGGGCGGGTCCTTGGCCTGACGCAAGCTGGAAGTGGAACTACAAGTTCAAGGGTAGCAAGGAGACGGCAGCGACGTATAGATCCATATGGGCGTCGCTCCGGTGGTTTGTTCTTGGAGCTTGATTTGTTTTTTGTTTTGTTTTATTGCATAGCGTCTGGTTTTGGTATTTTGAGCGTATTGGCTTTTTTCTTTGGTTTATAGCATACCTGCGGGTGATTGAGCTGATTGGGCTGCGGTTGATGTGGATTCATGGCCTGCTTTCATACGAGATTATAGAGTATAGGAGACGATGTCATGTCGTAACGTAATGAACTTATTATATCGTATCATCAGCATTCTCACCATTGACATTGTGCCCCATGAATCATTGAAGAGATGCCTCCCAATGGGTCTTGATTGCTTATATCTCTCACCCAGCAGGTCTTCAAACACACCCAATGTCCAACATTCATGCTCACCATTCCCTAATCAAAAAGTCACTCCAAACGAAAATCCCGTGCATTATTTTTTTAGTGAAGTAAAAACCAGCAATTCTAATATACAAAAAAAAAGACGAACGCAGGATTTCAACCCCTCTTACAGTTTAGAAGAAGAAGAAGATAAAAAAGGACCCTGAACTGCCGAAGCATACCATTATGATTTTTCTGATTCCTCTTTTTGGTTTTTTTTCTGCCCCCTAACATATATACCGTACTCCTCCATTAGATTTGATTGAGTGAATGGTCCCCTTTTGAATTGAAACTTTTTTTCTGCGCTTTTGAACCGTCTCGAGGTGAGATGATGGATGTGGGAAGGAAGGACTTCTTCCCTCACTGTATGGCATACTTTGGTGGAGGAAAAGCAGTAGCCGTATTAACTCGATCCTCTCCTGGCTCTCGTCCAAGCAACAGTCCCCGAGTTTTTTATGTTAGGTGAGGAGAAGTTGGACAAGGAGGTGAGAAAAGTAGTTTTCCCTGTTCCTTTCCTGCTTATTCTCCTTTCCAATTCAAATTTGTGATTCCAAGAGACATACTTCTCTCTTTCTCCACTGCGTGAAGCCTCTCGCTTGCAGACCGCCGATACTAATAACGACAGCTTAACCGCCACGACCACCATATGGTTGATGTCTGAAGCCGCCGCCTCCACGGTGGCCTCCACCACGGTAATTGGCGCCGCGGACACCAGCGTTCTTAGGACCAGTGGGTGCATTGATGGGAGCCTGACCACCGCCAGAAGGAGGCTGGCTGGATCCCTGGCGAGACCGGTTGTTTCTGAAGCCACCACCGCCACGGCCACCGCTAGGTCCGGAGGGGACGTTGGGTGGAGGTGCGTCATCGTACATGCCGTCCCAACTTGCTGGGCCGCCTCCCTGGGCCGCGCCGTAGCCCGCGGGGCCAGAGAGTTGTTGCTGGCGACGAGCTTGCTGTTGTTCGTATTTTTGCTGTTCAAATGCTAGCTGATCTTGTGCTGTATATGCTGGGCGAGGACCGGCGTTTTGTCCGCCTTGAGCATTCATCATGCCTGGGCCTCCGGGTCCGCCTGGGCCGCCTCCACCTTGCATCTGTTGCATCTGTTGCATTTGCATCTGCTGCATTTGCATTGGGTTCATACCGCCAGGACCGCCCATCATCTGTGGGTTTGGTGAGCCAGTGCCGCGGTTCATGCCTTGGTTCATCATCTGCTGTTGCATCTGCTGCATCTGCATCGGGTTCATACCGCCCATTCCGCCCATAGGGTTACCCGGCATCCCACCACCAGCCTGTTGTTGAGCGAGCGTTTGTTGCATAGATTGGAAGTATTGCTGCATCCGCTGCCAGTACTGGGCCATCATAGCTGGAGACATGGCAGTGTTGCTGCCTTGTGCTTGCATGTTTCCTCCGCCGTTCTCATAGCCGTTTCCTCCACCTTGACCACCGTTTCCGCCATCGTTGAACTTGTTGAACTTGTTGCCGCGACCGAACTTCTTGTTTCCGTCACCTCCATCGTCGTCGCGCATGTTTCCGCGAGGCTGGGCGCGCTTAACTTCGATTTGCTTGCCGAGAATCTGGAGTGGGCCGCGTAGTGTGGCATCTACTGCCGCATCGCCGTCAAAGGTAACGAAACCGAAGCCACGAGGGCGGCCCGTTTCCTTGTCCATCATGAGTGTGGCATCAACGACACGCCCAAATTGCTTGAAAAAGTTTGTAAAATCTTCCTCTGTTGCTTCTTGGCTGACACCGCCGACAAAGATCTTGCTGGTTCGTTCTTGTTCTTCACGAGGAATAGCCCGCTTTGGGTCAATCTGATCATTGTTAGCGAAGATTTTTTATTCGAATTGGTGGTTGACATACAATCTTGCCGTCTAGATAGTGCTCTTTGACCATGACGATATTGACGCATTTAGGGTCCTTGAAGGTAAGGAAACCAAAACCTCGAGATCGGCCAGTAGCAGAGTCGCGCATAACCGTACACTCGCTGACCTCACCAAATTGTGAGAAGTAGCCCTTGAGAGAATCTGTGTATCAGATATTAGTACTGATTATGTGTTGTTGCTTGTCGCAATGGTCACAAGGCCGACAAGTGTCAGCTCCCAAGATGAAAGACTGGGAACTGCTCCTAACTCAAGTCAACAAACGTACCTTCAGTAGTCTCCCAGTTCAGACCGCCGATGAACATCTTGCTACAGTTGGTGTCAGTACGTCAGTGTTGACATGGTGGATAAAAACAAGAGTACAAAGGGGGCATTGAGACGCATCACAGGTTGTCGACAATAGGTATCCAAAGGCCATTCGAGATGAGTAAACAGTGAAGATGATATCCGAGCAACCCGATATCCTGTAATGTCGAGAAGGCATAGGACAGTGATCGCCAGATGTATGCGCAAAGTCACTGGGTTCCAGTCATGTAACCAATGTCCAGAGGAAGGTGTATGACAAGGGTCTTTGGCGGGTGAAGCGGGGAGAAGCGCATGGTTTCGGATACGGCGTATGGTTCGTCCAGTAATATCGAGATAGCCAGACTATAATGTACCCTGGCGGTCCTGAAGGCGTGGGAAGCCAAGTTGAATGTATTGCCTGTTTGTGTTGATGATTCAGACATAAGTTCGAGGTACCATCGTACCCTAGAACATATTGTCTCGGTGATTTTAAGGTACTTTGCACTCAGGCACCCTGGCTGTCCGATGTTGATTGTGATGATGACCGAATACAGAACTTAAGCGAAGCCATGTCCAACGCCGCATCCTAATCCCAACATGTCGAATCTTGTGGCGTAGACCAATCATACAGACTAGCAACGCAAACAACGTACTCAAGATCGACATTTCGAGGTTCAAAAGTAGCCCTGCAAAGGCACAGTATGGTTCGGATGAAGCGTCTGTGTTTTGCTATGGATTCGAGTGCAGACGTCTGAGAAAGACATTCTTACAACTCGGTAGCTATCCTCTGCTTGCGTTGCTGGTACGCGCTATCAAGTACCTAGGTATATATCGACATGAGGCGCTGCCAACGTTCGGGCAAGCCACAAGAGTCCTCGCGAAAGGCGCGTTGATAGTTGTTTCTGAGTATCGCAGAGCCGTTGACCCGTGTCTTCCAGCTTCTTCCAACAACCAAGCTTGACGGCCCAACCCGTCATATTCAGAACGCTCGCCAAATGGGCGACGCAGATTGCAAATCTTCGCATCTTGTCAAGATCCTAAGCCTTCACACCAGACTGGCCAGTTACGACCCAAGGCGTTCTTGGGTAGTGCAAGTGCATGATAATCTCCAGGGCATGCTCCATAATCATGCGCCTAGAGAAATCAAGCAACTGATGTACCATCTTGTCGCTGTCTGATGTCCCAATACTACTTTTCATGCGGCCGATTATATTTTTGATCCTTATAACGGTATGTGTTCGGCAGGTGGGTGAGATCGTATCTCGAACGTGTGACCTTACCTTGTGATGCGCCTCTGGGATATTAATACGACATCAAGCATGCACGACTTACCCGTCTTCTTTTACGTTTATAGGTCCATAGTTGTCATCTTCCGCAGGTGCGTTATCAAAGGACTGTTCACCTCCAGCATTGAAACCAGATTGGCCCATCTGTGTGTCCTCGCCCGCCGCATTTTGGGCTGGCCAAGATGCTTCAGCATTTTGGCTGTGATTCTGGGTAGCATCCTGAGGCGGCGCGCTCGCAGATTCGGTTGGTGCTGGCTCTGGCTCGGCCTTGGGGGCAAGTGCAGATGCCGCTGGGGCTTGCTGCGACCTGGGCTCATCGTCATAACTGGCTAGTAGTTAGCATTGCGCAGAGTGGCGTCACAGAATAGCTGAACGCATTGCATCCGGGTCGATTGTCTTACAGATCGTCAAAAATATCGTCCTCGTAGTTCTCGTCGGCCATTGCAACGGCTGAAATGGGGGCTAGAAGTGATTAAGAAGTAGAGTTACAAAAGGACTGGGGTGATGGCAGTCCTTATTGAGCTCCTGGCGCGATGCTCTGATCAAAAGCTTCGGCTACCTGGAAAACTCAGTCGGAGAGGCAGATTGTACAGTCGCGAAAGAGTAAGGCGATGGTATGAGAATTAGGGGATTGACGCGATCGAAGGCGGGTGGGCAAAGGTGAAGGTGAGAGAAGAAGAGGCTGCCTGAGGTTGGGAGACGAGAAGCAACGGGCAGTCGCGCTAGTGTGGGCGGAGCTTGGCGTGACAGGCGCGATGGATGGAAAGCACGAGCGGCAGCGCCGTGGTCGGGCAACTTGGAGCTCGGGGCCTCGCAGCGGGGCGTTGTCGCGACACGATTTCAAGAGACGCATTCGATTCCACCATGGCTTCCAAAAAACAGCAGCAGGTTCGTGATTCTTCGCTCGTGTATGCGCAAATGCCGAGTATTTTCTGACACGTCGCCAGGAAATGGTGCAGGTCGGTTCGTGTCCATCCAAACCACCAAGCATACATACATCACGATACCCGGGGTAGCTAACACATCGCTTCCCTACACACAGACCGCTCCTCGTACGTTGCTATGCCCGAGCCGCACCCACACCGCCGATATTGACATTGATTGCGCAGTTCTGCCTCGCCCTTTTGGCGCACGACATCCAATACCGCTACCTCACCCACAGGCAAGAAGGTTATCGGCGCATCATACTCCCATGCCGACATACTCAACTTCAGCTCACTGTATGTTTTGTTGGTACCACATTCACACATGGCGCCTAGACTGACCGTCAAAGGAGCGTCTCTGGGTCGACGTCACGGCCTCGCACCCCGCCATCGGCTACGCATAGTCGCGAGTCGAGCATTGCCCCAGGCCGGTCAAGCAAGACCACATCGCCCCGTTCGCGCCCAACATATAGCCACTTTCTCAACGACACACAGCAGGACTGGAACCATGGCGATGACCCAGATGACCCCGACAACATGTTTGAGGACGATGAAGACGAATTTGGCCTACCGAGCATTGCAAATATGCGGAGAAAGGGCCGTCGCAAACAGCCGACAAAGCCAAAGGACCCAGGCGGCACCGCTCGCAGGGAAAGTCAGGGTTCGACTGCATGGCGGGCAATAGACAGTGGTGACATAGCCGAAGAGCGAGGCATACCCAACTACCCAACCGCCAAGAAGATTGAAGGAAAGATACTACGACCGCAATACCAAGAAATCCTGCGCGACCCCGCAAATTCTCTACATCTCATCGCACATCCCCCCGTAGACCCGAATGCGTCAGCAAAGCAAATTGAGGAGCACTCGGCCCGAACAACAAGAATCAACAAATTTAAGCGGATACTTCAAGCCAGCACCATCTCGCTTTCCGATTTGCGCGACTCAGCATGGTCGGGTGTGCCATCTGAAGTACGCGCCATGACATGGCAAGTCTTGTTGGGATACCTCCCCACCAGTAGTGAAAGGAGGGTTGCGACACTGGAGCGCAAACGAAAGGAATACCTCGAGGGTGTGCGGCAGGCTTTCGAGCGAGGGACTTCTGGTAGTGCAGGCGCTGTCGCCTCTGGCATGGCTGGGGGCGCCTCTTATCCTGCAACAAACCGAGGGCGTGGGCGTGGCCTGGATGAAGCGATATGGCATCAAATCAGCATCGACGTGCCTCGGACAAACCCCCACCTAGAACTCTATAGCTACGAAGCGACGCAGCGGTCGCTCGAACGCATACTATACGTTTGGGCCATACGGCACCCCGCCTCGGGCTACGTACAGGGCATCAACGACTTGGTAACCCCATTCTGGCAGGTCTTCCTGGGCGCCTACATCTCAGACCCCGATATTGAGTCTGGTATGGATCCTGGGCAGCTACCTAAGCAGGTTCTTGACGCTGTAGAAGCTGATTCATTCTGGTGTTTGACTAAGCTGCTTGATGGGATACAGGACAACTACATCGCCCACCAACCGGGGATCCAGAGGCAAGTGTCAAGCCTGAGAGATCTCACCACACGCATCGATGATGGGCTAGCAAAGCACCTCCAAAATGAGGGTGTCGAGTTCATACAATTCAGCTTCCGTTGGATGAACTGCCTTTTGATGCGTGAGATATCCGTGAAGAACACAATACGGATGTGGGATACCTATCTGGTATGTATTGTTGACTGAAATACAGACAAATGACTGACGTGTGTTAGGCCGAGGAAGATGGGTTTTCGTCTTTTCATCTTTACGTTTGTGCCGCCTTTCTTGTAAAATGGTCGGATCAACTTCGCAAGATGGATTTCCAAGAGATCATGATGTTTTTGCAATCATTACCTACTCGGCAATGGACCGAAAAAGACATAGAATTGTTGTTGAGTGAAGCCTTCATCTGGCAAAGCCTGTTCAAGGGTAGCGGTGCCCATTTGAAGAACACTGGCTCAAGAGAGATCGGTGTAGGGATGGGTCCCGACTTTTAAGAGCGCCGATGTTATAGGTTGAGTAGATAAATCGCAGCCATGTCGAAAGTGCATACACTATAGCAAATTTGTGCACGGGTATTGCGAGAGTTTCTTCCGCGCCTGCCAAAGACAGTATCAATTCAAGATATTTGGCGCTTGCTTTTCCGAACAGTATTTGTTATCTCCGCACTACACCAATATCGGCTCAGTAACGAGTAGCAACGGGAATAGAAGCTACCCCGCCCTTTACCCCACTATACGTCACTTTGCCCATGCCTCGGACTTAGACACATAAAGTATCGTGCTCCGCCTAGTTCCATTACTCGAATGCAGAACTCGAATCACCAGTGTTTTCGAGTAGTACTACCCGGACTAGATATCACAGAGACCAAGGACAGCATTCAAGATATTCAATGGCACCACCACCTCGCCCTCCGTTCACAGAGCTTCCGCTTGACAAGAGCGGTCCTCCAGGAAACGCATGGGGTCTCTACGGTGCCAATGATGAACTTGGTGCCCTCAATATGATCACTCCCTCTGTTGTCAAAGCCGCTGCACAAGAAATCCAAACTGGCGACCGTGTATCTCTGGACTGGTATCTTAATCTGCCATCTCACCCGTCCTTCAACCGGCCATCATTCTCCTGGACCATGAAAAATAAGGAGCATCCAGACGGGACGGGACGAACAGTAAATGACGATCATGTGGATTTCAATACGCAGGGAAGCAGCCAGTGGGATGGTTTTAGACATTACGGATACCAAAGCGCGAAAAAATACTACGGCGGACGCTCACAGCAAGACATTGAATCATCGCAAGTCATTGGTATCGACCGTGTAGCCAACTCCGGCGGCATCACGACCAGAGGTATTATCTTAGATTATCCGCGTTATCTCGAGAAGAAAGGCGAAAAGCAAGTAAACTCGTTGGAGGCAAACAGCATCACTGCAGATGTGCTGAGGGACATGTTGAAGGATGTAGGCGTTCAGCCAAGAGAAGGCGATCTGTTATTGCTGAGAACAGGCTTCACTCGGGATTACAACAAGCTCAGTGAAGCAGATAGAAAAGCGATCAAGGACAAGCCACCGACGTTCCTTGGTGTCCAGTCCGGTAAGCAGAGTTTACAGTGGATTTGGGAAAGTGGATTCGCGGCTGTTGGTAAGATCTTTCTCAGTCTATACTTTCTGCTCTGTTCAACCTAGTCCATGTCGTCTCCATTTCTCATATCAAAAGTTCTCTGTGTTAATTGTCTCCTAACCGAATTATAGCTTCTGATGCCCCTTCTTTCGAAATGTCACCTTTAGTAGGTCCCCACAACGCCCCTGGCGGCATATGGGCAAACGAGTCTTGGGAAGAAGAGATGCAAGGTGGTGGGTTGTTGCATCAATGGTTACTTGGTGGTTGGGGGGTTATGATTGGTGAAATGTGGGACTTGGAGGCACTGTGTAGTAAGAGCGCAGAATTGGGAAGAAACACATGCTTTGTGAGCAGTGTGCCGCTCAAGGTATGTTGGACCATCTCTTCTTCCTGGTTCTTCCAAGCCTTAGAGGTCACGTGAGTGTACTCACAGGAGAGATGGAAGGCACAAAAGAAGGAAATACTACTTGGTGGTACACGACGCAAAGCTAATCATAATTCATTACAGGTACCGGGTGGTGTAGCAAGTCCACCAAACGCTGTTGCTATCTTCTAAATTGGGTGGTATGTTAGAAGTATACACTTGCGGACCTTTATAGATTTTGCCAGGTTCAAGATAGAGTTGGAAATGGTCTAGTCGACGGCTATTCCATAAATTCCGGTAATCTTCCACCATATTTCTCCGTGTATCACTTCTACACAAAATATACGAGATGGCCCGCTTCCCCCCGGATCGTTGCGGAGTGTACAATTTAAGATGTTGTGCTGGTCTTAGAATCGATACTTACACAGGCGCACTGCCCTTCGCACCCTTTCACTCTTTCTTTCTATCTTTCTTTCTTTCTCGCAATCAATCTGGAGTAAGTGCGTACACGCTGTGTATCGATCTCGGTGAAGGTGAAGGTGAGTACAATTAACATTATGTACGGCGGTCATGTGAAAACATGACGCACTAGGGCTTGCACAAGTTGAACGGACACACACATATATATAACAATGCAATCACTGGTGGGATCACCTTCATATCCAATCTTGAAACAAAGCCAAGCACGTATACTTACATACACAACCAGAAAGGGGTGGTTAAAAAGCTTGGAAAGACGCACAGCCACTTTTGCAACCCTGGTTTCAATTTCAACATCACGTAAGCCCTAACCCTAAATCCAGAGATGTACCACTATGTATGGAAACTCCAAACTCTAACACAAGGGTTTAAATGTCTACCTTTCGTCCATCGTACTTTTATACTTTTGCCTTTTCGCTTCTCTTTCCTCATTTCGCCAAGATATACCCGACTCTCGCAAAGAAAACAAGATGAAGTACTTCACTTTCGTCACGATTACTGCGCTTGTTGCGTTTGCGACTGCGCACCTTCCAGCTCAAGGTAGTGGACAGAAAGCCGCCGCTTGTAGCAGGATGTGTGCTGGGCCTTCATTGTCGTGCAGTGATGGTGAAGTAAGTCAAACTTTTTTTCTTTTCTTTGAGATTTTCGCCTCTTCTTCTTACATGCTTTGTGTTCCGTACATGCACACTATTTTTTTCCAGAAGCTAACATTGTGGCAGTTCGTCCAACAGCTTGGTGTAAGTATTACTACATTCCATGCGGAGAGACTACGTTGAACGCGCAAACAACGTGGGTTTGAGAGTAGACCGGGTGACCACAGAGAGAAACCTTTCAAACCCAAGCGCATGGTAAACGGGTTCAAAATAAACTAACATGCCGTATAGGAATGCTACACTTGCTGCCGAAATTCGTAGTTCCCTCACGGTGTCTTGATGGTGTGCACTGGTACTACCGTCACACGATATAAGCCCGATGGCAACGGGTTTACGCATGCCTGCCATTGATCGAAGACATTACCGCGTTTTTTCTTCGTACATACTAGCTGGTTAAATTTATAAAACTGTGTACATTGAAATCTTCTACTCGATAACAAATTGCCCAACCCTCCGGCATCTCAGGTAGCAACGGAATACACTTCGCTATCAAAGTTTTATCAATGTTCATCACATTTAAGCTTTCCAAAACTCAAGTCCAATTTATCTGTTCACCCAAGAAAGCTGTTCAAAAAAAAAAAGAAAAAGAAAACAGGATACGAATGCGCTGCTCGTCCTGTTCTCCTTGCCATCCATCTCCACCACTCCCAGCCCGATCTTACTCAGCCATAGGAAAAAAAACAGCAAAATGAACCACACCATCCCAACCCTCACAAACTTACCCACCACACCACTCAACACTCCCATAAACACTCATGTATCGAACTAGAATCGAACAATCCAGACACATGCGGCAACACGTGAAATCTACCTCTCTTTTCGAATCGTCCAATAATCAGGCACATGTGGCTATGTAGTTTCCCTATTTTCCATCTTTGATGTAAAAAGAAAAACCGACCTCTGTGTTTTTGTGATTTGATTTACTAAGTGACGTTTGTGGTTATGTAGGGATTGAAGATGAAAGTGTGAGAGGGATTATTGTCGCTGATGGTGGATGGAGTGGTAGAGGTAAGAGGCGAGCTATGAAGAAAGAAAGAAAAAAAAAGGGGATATTTTTTTCTAGCTAGATGATCTGGAGTAGGGGAAATGAGTGCGAAACTACCTTTCTCGCTCCGCAATAATGTATGGGTTCGTATGAGAAGTCCTTGGCAGAGCTAGGCATGTGTATAATATGCTAACAGTCATGATATAGATACTTGTCGCATCCAACTTCATACTACAACTTGAGCAAAAAAACAAACAAACAAAAAGCGCTCAAATCTTATCCTCACAACATTTGGCCTCAATTCTTCAACTTTCAAGTATACCGCTCAACCTGCTGCTCACACCACTCCCAAAACGCCTTTCCATTTTCCTTCCCTTCCTCGGAATAAAAATCCTGTCTCAACGGCATTATGCGCCCCCAGGGCACAACCCACTCGCTCTCCTTCAGCTTCGCAGCTTCAGGCGCCAAACTCGCAAAAAGTTCCGTATACGCACCGTTTATAACCGGATGCGTTATGAGCTTGACAATCAACCTCTGCCATATAGGTATGTGATTGGCAAGATCCGTCTTGAGATTCCCAGGATTGAGTGGCTGAGTAAAGGGGGAGAAATGTCAGTGAAAAGGAAAAGAAGAAGAAAAAAATACACACACATGTATGGAATCGATCTGGATCAAAGGCAAACATGAAAGATACAATCCATGGAGGTAAGAAGAAAAAAAATGGAAAAGAAAAAACTTACAATACTGACCACACCTTCACCCCCATACCTTCTCCGAAACTCGATGGCGTGCAAAATGTTCCCCCCTTTACTAACCGCATACTTGGCAGTCGTCGAGGTATTCTTGTTATAGCCCAAATTCTGCATATCCACCCCTCCCTTTGGCGCACTTACATCTGCCGCCGAACTCGACACCCATGCCACCCTCACGCTCCCCGCTGGCTCTTTCTTTGCCGTCGCAACCAGCAGCGGAGTAAGCAGTTTTGTGAAGAGAAACGGGGCAATGCAATTAGTCCCGAGCTGGATTTCGTAACCCTGTTTCGTTTTTGGGCCTAGCGGGGTCATAAAGACGCCTGCGTTGTTGATGAGGACGTCTAGACGGGATTCTTGAGCAAGGAAATTTTCAACGGAGGGTTTTATGCCTTCGAGGTCGTTGAGGTCAAGGTGCAGATGGGTTAGTTTGCCTTTGGAGGATGGATGCTGTTCTTTGATCCACGCGAGCGCTGCTGTTGTTTTCTTCGTTGAGCGCGCGGCAGCGTATACGGTACCATTGCGCGAGTAAAGGAGGCGCGCTAGTTCTTTGCCTATGCCGGCGGAGGCGCCAGTCACGATGAATACTTTGTCTTTAAGGTCGGGCAGCGAGTCTTCAGTGAAGGTAGGTGCTGGGGGGAACATCTGGCTCAATTGGTTACCCATTTTGACTCGAGGTTTCCTGGACAGATCGTATGTTGATGATTAAGCTTGTAATGTCATGGTGATGGCCTTGAGAAAGTATTTGAATACCGTATCCCGTCCCTCTGATCTTCGGAAGGCCCGGCTCTTGTCGCCCGCCAGAAACGGCCCGGTTCAAAACAGCTTGTCAGATATCATCCCAATTGGCGAATTCAACAAAGATAATTGCTCAATCTCCAATGACCAGATACATTTGCTGACCTGCATAGCATGCAGTCAGTTCCCTCAGGCAACGTTGTGGTAGGGGGTCAAGCGCAAAGTGGGCCCATTAGCGTAGCTGGAGAGCCTAGCCTTGGCCGGCGGAGAAGGAGATGTGGAGGTACAAGGATACAAGGGTGCTATCCAGTCACCTGCCTGGGAACTAAACGCATAGCCTGTCTTTTAGAAAAGCTTGAAATGTGGAGTATTGAAGTCGGAGCTGAGATGAACCACATCGTTTGTATACAAGCTGGAAGTAGTCAACGCTCGATACCATCACAAAGCCGACAGGCAGCAGTGGTGGGGTAGCAATTTCGAGATGATTGCAACTCAGTTGGAAGTGCTAGAGGGTACTTTGATGGTATGCGGACATGGTAAACATTGGATATATCTTACTTGTTTGTATCCCTTCTATACATACTGCCTGAAAATAATTCACTCTTGGACCCAGGGTCTACTTCTTGTTGGTCTTTCCCATAGCAAGCAGCGCATCCTGGTCCCTGATACCAGCCAGCTGTCCTTGTTGCGCACGTTTGACTGTAAGCGCAGCAATGAGCGCAGCACCAACACCGGAACCGTCCTCGGCAGGTAGCACCTCAATAGGATCGTTCTTGCCCTTTCCATACTTGGCTGGCCAGTCCATGATTTCCTTCAGTGCCTGAGCTTGACGGATCTTGAAGTGAGGGTATTTGCTGAATACGGAACCGTCAGCACCAACATGCACCTCGCTCCATTTCTTGTGCTTGCAGATAGCAGAGACACCGCAGGCAGTCAGACGAGCAGCGCGGGTACCAATAAGCTCAGCAAGTCGGCGGATTAGTTCGAGTTCAGGCTTAGTGCAGCTGATACCAAGTGTCTCCTGGAATAGATCGGCCGTATCTTGCAAATTCTCGAAGCGGTCTTCTTCGATCTGGGAGAGAAAACCAGCATCAAGAGAGTAAGGCTTGTCGAGTTTGCTGGCGTTCTGGCCTTGGAACATGGAGCATTCTGTACCCTTGTGAAGATCCAAGAGGACTAGACGGAAAATCTCGCCAAGGTACAAACCTGCAACCATCTTCTCAAAAGTCTGTTGACCTGGCCGAGGCGACTCCTTGTCAATTATAACGTCGTACTTTGTCCGTGGCAGAACTTGATGTTCGTTGTCAAAGGCGCCCCATTCGCAGTTGATAGCCATTGGCAGTTTTGGGTCCAGGTTCATGTGCTTCAGCTTGGGAATAGCACCACACTCCTCCATGTAGGCAGCGTTGCACCCCGTACCGAAGATGCAACCAATTTTGATGCTGGTATCGGTATACGCTGAGGCAATCATGGTACCAGTAGTGTCGTTGACCAGCGCCGCGAGCTTGATAGGCACGCCGCGTTCCTCCAGAGCTGCCTTGAATCCAGGCACAACATCTACACCTTCCACGCCTTGTACATCGAATCCCTTGGTCCATCGCTGTAGGACACCGTGATCAATAGCATCTTGCGAGACAGGGTACGAGAAGGTGAAACCGAGGGGCAGATCGGCGAGCTGTTCGCCCTCGTGGTGGTACTCGATAAATTGCTGGAGGCAGTCGGCGACGTAGCCCCATAGCTCATCAGCAGTTCCAGTCTTCAGCTCCTCGGGCATACGGTACTTTGATTGTATAATCTCAAACTCTCCCTTCTCTTCCGTCAGAGTAACCTCGCAAACACGTAGGTTCGTACCGCCCATGTCAAGCGCAAGATATTTTCCGGTCTCGTTGCCATCGGGAAAGGCCATGCACCAGGTCGGAATCATAGGCTATATGTGTCAGTGTTCTGCTGCCAGCGCTGCGAGTGAGGTGCAACTCACAATGCTTCCACCTTGCTCTGATAGTCCCTTCTCGAGCTCATTGACAAAGTGATCCGAGATGTGCTTGAGCTTTTCCGTGGAGACGACAAACTGCTCCTCCAGCTTCTCAATCTGCTCCTTCAGATCCCGGGGCATGTCCGCCATGGAACCTAGCACAGTTGTCATTCCCTCAGTCTTTGTGGTAGCAGGTTTGGAACATACCCTTGCGGGAAGGGGGTTTCTTTGCGCCTAGCAACACCATGATTGCAGATGTGAAAGTGAAATAGGTATGACCGGTTTTATCGTAATTTATCGTAATAGGCGTTATGTGTCGAGACAAAAGTTGAGGCTAATAGGTGGGGAGCTTCAGTTGCTTGTCAGTGTCGGTACAATGACGATATGCCTGTGGAGATGCTAGGACTGAAGGGAACCGCTCGGCCGTCATGTTCCGCGGGCAATCCCACTTTTTGTAGACGAGATTTGCTTTCTCCACCAGCCCAGGTTGCTTTTGGAAGTAGTATGGGGAGAGCTCAGCTTACCGAGACTGTGTTATCATGCACCGTCCACGGTCAAGTCCGCCAATGGCTTGTAAGGATTATTCAACAAGCGTTCAAGCTCAATCGGGGTTGATGGGGACTGAAGAAGAAGAAATTGTAGGGTGCAATTGGAGGAAGCGGAATCGGGGAGGGGGGGAATGGATACGCTCGAAGCCATGTTGAGCCCCGCCATCCCACGTAACATGGCTGGACACGCCTCCGAGCTTGGAGTGCCGCAATGGACCCCGCCACCTTGTCCACCGCCTTTGCTCAATCCTTGGCTTCGGACTCGATGCTTTTGCTTCGTACAGCACCTCACCGCAACACATTTGCGTGATTCTCAACCGGAGAAGCTCTGCGCATTCGGCATCACACACTAGGAGTCGCTAGTTTTTGAATCGTTACTTAAACATGAAAAGCCAGTATCTGGATACCCAGACACCGGCATAAAAAACCTCATTGTGTTCCTGCACGGGTATCATAACGCCAAGACCCGGGCTTTACGCCATGCCCAATACCAATATCAATCCCCTTGCCCGTCATCATGTGCACGCTGCTCTCATGACACTTTCTGCAAGTGTCCGGGCAACAACTGTCGAGGGCCACCTGAACTAATAGTACTCTGCCTTCTGCTTCCCGCTCCACTATCAAGTCCAGCACTCAGCGGCGCCCCAAAGCCCGCGCTCTGTGGAAAATGTTCGTTGGTTGCGCTCAGAGGTGCGCCCATCATACCCAGTCCCATTCCTCGTCCGGTACTCGCGTTGTCTCCTCCTGAGAACATGGAACCTCCTCCACCAGGCGGTGCTCCAAGTGCTGAACGAATCATGCCCTTCATCCGTATATATTGGTATTTCGATCGTTGAGACGTGTGAGTATACGTTGCCATGGGACGCGGTCGGTGTCGACCCAGGGCGGCCATGATCGAATCTTTCTCTTCGTCGGAGTCAACAGCACCCGAGGGCTCGAGATCTTCGGGAAGAGGAGCATTTGCGTCAATGAGTGATCCTGAAGCAAGGTTAGCGTGTGCTCCTCTCGACACTGGTTGTCAAACGGCATACTTTGTATCTTGGCCTGGTTCTTCTTTTGGTACTGCGCCAACAACATATCGTACGGCAGACTACGTCCCGGGACAGCCCTTTTGAGACCCATGGAATGGCTCTTGCAAGTCAAACTCCTGGCGCAGTATCCACCGTTTGGTAGAGACACACCACATTGCCTCTCGACATCGACTGGCCCTTTGGGTTTCGCGCCCTTTTGCTTGGGTTCGTCCTTCTTCTTCTTCTTTGCATTGGGTGCCTTCTCTGCATCCCCATCAAGCTTCCGCTTCTTGCCCTTCTTTGCGCCGTCCCCATCCATAGAAGCGCCTTTGATGGCCGACTTTCGTGACTTACCACCTTCGTCATCTTCGCCTTTCTCCTTTCTGAGCGCAGCATCTTTGGCCTCCTTGGCTTCTTTCTTCTTCTTGAGCTTCTCTTGCTTCTTGTGGAGACATTCGCGGATATGTGTTGCTGACGATGCGCGAAGCACTGGCCGACGACAGTGCTTGCATTGTACCGTATCTACCTTGTCATCTAACGGGCGGCCGCTAGGAAAGCCAGCGATTGTCTTCTCGTCGAGAGGGTTGATCACAGGCGAAGTCGTCGACGATGCGGGGGCTTTGTTCTCAATATCTAACCTTACATTAGCATAGTATAGACTATATGCATGCACATGGTGCGCTGCACATAGATTTTGGCATACTTGTCGCATCGCTTTCTTTCCAGTTGCCCGGTAGCGATGGTTTAGGCACCGGCTTCTTGATCCTCAACTTGATTTTCGACTTTTCCGACTTTACGACGCCTTTGACCAGACTCTTGTCTAGCAGGCCTGTGGCTCCCTCCGAATTTGTAGGAGTTTCTATAGCGCATTAGTGCCAGCACGCGTGTGGGGTTTGGACACTGCGGCGTGAGCTCACCCTTTCGCGCCCCATTCGCGGCCATGGTCACGGCTGCTTAATGTCGGCGGTGCCCTTTACTGGGCTTCTGAGAGGTTCCCAAGGTCGCCCGGAACGTGATATCAATATTGCCGATGCCCGGTTGCTTGCAAGGAATGAATCCAGATGGGGATAGACGCGCGTGTTGTTGAAAGCCTCGGATCGGTTGTCGCCCGGCGATGACGCGCTAGTCCAAACCGGTCGATACATCACATGCGCGCGCCATGATTGCGCTCTAGGATCAATCACCAAACAGCCTTCAGCATGACACCGAGTATTGCACGCACAGTTGAAAAGTGAATAGTTTTCTTTGTCTCACAAAAGTACATTGTTCGGCCGCTTGTTGCAGTGATAAAACACCATATAGCTGCATATAGTACTGTCAAGTCAGGACAGAAAGCGCAATTCCAAGATAACCACCCAATGCATACCATGGCATACCCAGTGAATCGAGGCCGAAACTTCCAGTCGACCACTCCAGCGCCATGCCATATCCTATCAAACGCCTTGAAATGCATGTACCGTACTCTGAGCGTCATTGCTCTTGGTATCAACGCTCCGAAATTCGCCAGAATATGCTGTTTCGTCATTCGTAAATATACGCAGGTATTTCAACCTTCCAATGTGGCGCTTTCGGGCTTGATCGTGATGAAAGACCTGCAAGAATGTGTAGATCTTGCCGCTATGGTTTTGGAGCAAGTTCACGGGGTTTTTTTTTCACCATGTTCAACTTCTTGCGTATGCTTGTTGCACCTAGACATTAGCGTCCACGGCCCTTAGCCTTGTTCGCTTTTGCAGTCTTCGCTTTGCCCTTCTTAGGTGGCTCATACTCCTCGAAGTGGTTGTAACCAAACTCGTCGCGCATGATGCTGTTGGTCCAGTGGAGACAACGATCCTTGGGGGCCTCGTCGGCCTGGGTCTTGTTTCGCGTCGACACCCGGGGCTTGTTTTCGTCCTCTTCTTCCTCCTCCTCAGGCTTGTTTGATTCTTGTAGATGTTGCTGCATCTTCAGCATGTACTTTGCAATGCGATCACGGAAAGCCTGCAGCTCTTTACGCAGCGCACGTTCCCGTAATCCGCGCTCATCTAGCCAGGCTAACAGCTTGTCAATGTCTTCGGGGTCATCGTAGTATCCCCACTCAGTAGCCGTTGAGAGATGCGTAGAACCTTCCTCGCGCTCTTTGCGCTGAGGGACAGTGTAACCGAAACGCTCCATGTCTTGAGTGAGGGCAGGCTCCTCCAGATTCGGACCCAGTTCATACTCGCTAGGACCCTGTACCCAGATTCGCCCATTGGCGTAGCCATACTCAGCAGTAGAACTGTTCGGGACACCACCAAACGGCATGCCATTGTGTTCAAACCAGTAGTACTTGTTGAGGAATCGATCCTTGCCAAGAATCTTGCTGCGGTGCACCAAGGTCTCACGGAGGTCATCATCAAGTTCGTTGATGTTGGCCTCGCAGTCCTTGAGTTCATCCTTCTTTCTCTCGATCGCCGCTAGAAGCTTTTCCCATTCCTTTTGTTTCTTGTTCCTCTCGGCCTCGGCCTTTGCCTTCTTCACCTTCTCTTTGCGGGCATCTTCGGCGGCAGCCTTGCGCTTGTTCTTGTTTGATGGACGAGTTCTTGTTTTGGAAGCAGTGGTATCATCTTCATCGTTGGTTTCGGCAGCAACCGCGTCTTTGGTGTCCTCATTAGCACTGACCATGGATACGTCTGCTTCTTCGCTCGCCTTGGCATCAGTAGGCGATGCGGGAGTGTTATCAGGCAGATGGATCTTTCGCTCCAAGTCCAGCTTGCAGAGCTCATCGGCTAGTTCCTTCCTCTTGCGCTGATACTCAATCTTCTCTTTCCGCAGACGAGTCATCTCCTGAGCGGCGGCAGTGAGTTGATCTCGGAAGTTCTCGGTGCCAACAGTCAAGCTGAGAAGCATCTCAAGTGCCGAGATGCGGAGATTGACATCCAGGTTGTTGTAATTCTCGGCAATGGTGAGGGTAGTGGGTTCTTCCTCCTCTGGCGGGACCAATTGCGCAAGAATCTCATCACAAGCCTCCTTCCTGGCAGGGTCAAACGAAAGACGATGGAGTAAGGCTACGATGATGGACTGCCATCCGCCCTCGGTGAAGTTGCGCACCTTGCACTGTTCGATCCAGTCAAATTCTGCGACAAATTCTGCAGCCTTATGAATCTCCTTCGGTGGTTCGGGTGTGGGCGTGCGTTGTTTTGCAAGTAGCTGTGCGGCACCCGACTTCCTCAAGCTGCTGCGGGTAGTCCTAACTGGTGGCTCAGGCTCAGGAGTCGGGGTTGACTCGCTGCTGGACTCCTCATCCGACGAGTCGTCATCCATGTTTGGCAAGGAACTCTGAATTTTACCTGACTCGCTAATGATTTGCTTCAATATAGCACAGTGCATCTCAACAAACAGTTCACACTCAACTGTTTCGTGTGAAAAGCGCATGGCATCGACGAAGTCGTCGAACGTGAAAGAGTCGAGCATGTAGACTGTGTCATGGACGTTGAGCGTTTCCCAAATGCATAGCAATGGGCCAATGCTCTTCATCAGAATACCCGTCTTCTTTTCCTCAGGTGGAGGCTCGACTCCATCGGGTACATCATCAGAGAAGAACTTCAAAGGTGGCCTGTTTACTTGAAGACGGGGATGCTTGATTTCGAGATCTTCGCATGGGTACTTGATGTATTCGACAGGGCGAGCTGGTGGAGGTGCTTGTTGCGGCTGTGCAACAGTCGAGGGTCTGGGGGCCTGTTGATGAGGAAATGTGGTTTGAAATGGAAAATTGACTGGATGACCATTTCCCTGTGGAGGCATCTGCATCAGATGGGGAGTTAGATGCGCCGGGAGATTGGATAATACCTGCTGTGGCTGTCCAAAGGTCTGGATAGGCTGTGGCCCGTTATTGTACATCGGCGGCGCATTGAACAAGTACTGCGGTGGAGGGCCATTCAGAGCCACAAAAGGATGGGGCAGATTTTGTTGGGGGTAGGGAGGTGCATTTGAAGAGAAGTTGACGAATGTGGGCTGGCCTGGTCCGGGAGGAAGAGGTGGCCGTTGGCCATTTATGTGCGAACTGTGACCGTTTGATACGTGCGGTGGGTACGGCTGTTGAACCGCCTGTGTGGCGCCGTTAGGTATGCCGTGAGCAGCCTTTCTAGCAGCGATTATAGCCTCCCGTGTCTTATTATCGGGGATCTTGGTTGGAATATCATAGCGCTTGGCTAAACTGTCTTTGACCATCCATGGGGCTTTGAGCCAGTCCTCACGTTTGAGGGCATTACGAAGAAAGGCCTTTAGAAGAAGCTTTGAGAAAGTTTTCTTGTCTCGGTGGAGGTCTGAAGCTTTGTACTTTGTCACGTTTTCCCCAGTGTCTTCCATGGTGATTACGTAAGTGTACGTCCGGATGTTATCGTCCATCGATTGGCCAGTGAACATACTGTGCATTCGACTGTTATCTGTAATCTGAGTGATTGTACCAAATCGGCGTGGATTATCTCCCTCGATAGATACACGGTCATGCAGCATGAATTGCTCCTTGAAATGCTACAAAAATGAATCAGTATCACAGTCTCCGTTGCTTGTTTGGAGATGCAAGCAGCTTACATCGTAAACGTCATTTACTTCAAGGTTTGTTAGCGAAATATCACCTGCAAATATGGAGCCTGAACTTACCTAGGTCGTCTATGCGCTCGTGATCCTGAAACTGGACATAGTGAAGAACAGGAGACTTCAAGCTATCAGGGAAGATGCTATTGATCTCTTTGGAAGCTTCCGTCTGCACGGATGTTACCTCCTCGTCGGCCTTGACGATTATTGACGTGGAGCCTACCTCGCTCTCTTGGGCCTCGAAATAAGTGTAACCGGAATGCCCAGTCGCCTGGCATGTGAAGCTTCGCTACAATCCGATTAGCTGTTTTGCGCCCAATTGTTGGAACTGTGGTTCTCTTGCCTGTTGGTAGAAGTCCAGCCTAGATTGTGTTAGTAACGTCCTTGTGCCTGACGTCATTTCCGTGAATTTCTTACCGTTCGAGGTAGCGCTCATAGTCGACAAAAACCTCTCCAGTCTGCTCGATATGCCACACCTAACCAATAGTCTTAGCATGTATGCTCTTGGGCTTCATCCAGTTATGTGACGCACTTCGGCATTATCGTCGAGATTTTTGGGCCGGGGTTCAAGCTTGACGGGTTTGCGCTTGAAGAGAACCTAAACAATTCTCAGCAGATGTTCGTTTGTATGCTGCGACCTAGTATGTACCATCTTGAAGTGAGCAACAGCTCATGTAGGGCTCTCGGCCTCTAGTGTACCGCGTCGCAAACTTCGGAAGCGTCGCGATGGTCGGAGCGCGTAGGTTGTGCTTTGCGGGGTACAATGTACAAAGAAGTGGAAGCAATCGCCCCTCCACGAGCGACTGTGCGACTCTGTGCTTTTCACGCGTCAGAAAACGATGTTCACAAATTGCTGTCGCACTCTTCGGTGGTCCGAAAAGCGTTCCGAGACGCGTCTTCCAGTTCCGAAAGCGCGTCTGAGAGGTTCGAGGCTGCCGGCAAGAGGTTGGGGCGCGATTGTTGGTCAGGCGGGCGAGAGGGTGGACAGCAGCAGTCGGAGGGCAGTCAATGGGAACAAAAGTGAGTGGAAGGTAGTAGGAGAAGCCCATAGTCCCTTGGCGCGAGGTGCCATACTAGATGCGGTAAGGACCGTCTTCGCACCCTACCACCTACGCCCCGAAGCTACGCACCCCACCACCATCACGATATCGACGTATTTGGACTCATTCTCGTCGTCAAAACGAGGACAACCAGACTGCAGCATACATGCGCCCATTTATAATGGCACGCCAAAGAATTTCTCATTATCAAGTGGCAGTGAAGGCCGGCCATGGAGATGCTCCATGCCGCGAGCCACCTTAAGCAAACCCTTGGGCAGGCTGACCCACTTGCTGGGACACGCCATCGTTATACCCGCCTCTAGTCACACACGGCCTTACTGAACCACGTACAACCAGAGAGGCGTATATTCTGAAAGACAGCGCAATCTCAAAATGACTTGACGGGATGCCCTACCCTACTTTGCCCTTGACATGTACGTTTGTCTCCTCCTGCTCACCAAGTATAATATTTGAAGCTGTTGAGCGCTTAGAATGTCGAAGTGGACACCTCTCGGAAGCTAATCCTCCAAAAACCTTGTTTCCTGCAGGCTTATCTGACTTGATGTGGTATATGTTGGAATGAAAACGAGCTGGCATGTCGACTAGACAAAGTTACTTGAATGATATCGGTGACTGACACAGAAAATGGGCGGCAAAGAGCACGATTAACAATATAAAAATAGCCTATATGGATTTCGGCTTATAAGTCAAAGTACACTACCAAGAAGCCAACCCAGCTACCAACTACACCGATGGCAGAGTAAGAGCTCGTAAACATGAGCGGTAGGAACTCATAACGGGACCCGAATACAAGGCCGTGAACAAGTGAGCAATACGCAATCAAAGGTATCGAAAGCGTTATGTAGAGCAAAGAGAACCGATCGAGCAGAAATATGCGAGGTTTGGGTGATCTAACAGGTTAGCGTCTACTTGGAAAATATCAGGGGTTGCCTACGCTGGAGCTAGCCGGTCAAAGGCAATCAGAAATAAGACAAGCCAAAAGATGGTATAAACCGTCTTGACGGGAAACTCGGCTGCAGTGAACAGTAGCGGGAACAACGACACGTGACCGGCAACAGCCAAGGGCCGAAAAGCCCCATAATATCTGCGATCTTGGAGCGCTATCAGACTGAAGGGAATAATGACAAGCAGAATTGCCTTTTCGTGGACGTGCCAGCCGAAGAGAAACGATGCGTAGCCACAGAGCGTGACGGCGCCGACAAAGGCTTCCCAGGTAGGCTTGAAGAGGAGTCGGAGAAGAACAGGCTGAAGGATGTTAGTTGGGTCGTCTTTGTGGAGTGGCAGCGTGCATACTATCTGCGCTCCGAGCGTGAGGAGGAAGCAAGTCAATGGAACTATGTCGGGCAGCACAGCAAAGGAGGTGTCTCCAACTAGACCTCGCGTTACGCTATTCACTGCCTCCTGGTCGACATGCAGTCCGAGCCGTGGTGCCACTGTCAGCGTTAGTGTTGTCAAGTAAAGGATGGAGATTGTTTTTACAGTAGATCAGCACCCGGTCCGTAAAGGAATACATTGCCCAAACGTTTGGCGCCCAGTAGGCGTGACACAATCCGCGGGAGAAGGGGAACAGGCGACTGACTACTTGCGCCAGCTGACCCCATAGTGCGAACGGACCAAAGGCTGCTGCGAATACCGTAATGATGCCGACTCCTAGTTTGACACAGTTGAAGAACTGGATGTTGAAGTAGGGAAACGATGAGTGATTACCCAGACAATAAACACGTAGGAGATAGACAAAATAGGCCGGGGCGAGATAGAGATAGATGTGCTTGAAGCACAGGAGGGCAGCAAAGAGAAGGCCAGATAGCAGAAGCGTAGAGCTGTTGCGTGCAAGGACCATTGACAATACCAGGATACCGTAGAGAAAGCCATTATACTGGAAATGGATGTGGTCGATGATCAAGAGTCCTGGAGACAAGAGAACTGAGAGAGCAGCAGCATGGGCTGTGACTTTGGACTTTGACGTCTTCACATAGCTGAAACAGACTTAGCACGGTGTGTGTCACGCAGGGGGGGATGGCGGTACAGATGCAAAGCGTAGACGAGAACCAGTTCAGTGAGGATGACGGTAGTGCGCTGGAAGTAAATGGTCTGCCAGCTGTCATAGCCCAGGTCTTTCACGTTGAGCAAGCCAGCGTCAGCATATGGGGCGGCTTGAGACAAGAGCCACTCAAAGTAGGCGAAGAAGGGCGGATAGTCAAGGGTCCATTCCGAAGTTTTCTGTTTGTGCGGTTAGAGGTTGATGAGGGGGCAATGGGTGTGATTGGACATGGTAGTCTGACTTCATAGTACCACTCTTTGATGGGCAGGGAGTGGGTTAGAGCTAGCCAATTGCGGTGGACCTCAAAGTCGGTCGACTTGCTGCCGAAAAAAGGTCAGCATGGAGAGGGTTGAGGCGTTGGGTGTGTGGTGCGGCAGACGTACTATGCAGGAAACAGTAGCACCTTGAGCGCCGTGGCCACGACGGCGCACTGGGCAAGCGACGGATACAGCTCTGCCATGGCGAGACTGACAGCGGGTGAGGGCACAATGGACAGAAAGCACAGATTAAGTTGAGGATCGTAGTCAGAGTCACGTGCTCGCTTACGGGCGAACCCCGGTCGTAGAACGGCGGTGGTTGTAAGTGAGTACTTGGAGTACTTGGGGTAGGAGCAAGCATACCAAGACAAGAGCAGCAGGGCAAGTGCCTGTGTTTTGGAACTACACACACCCACGTCGGCGACTGGCGCGACGAGGGCAAACGGGCGAAGAAGCAAAAGCGGATTCGACCACAATGCAAACGTGAACGGGCGCCAGGGGAGAGAGTGGCTGGCAGGCGGCGCTGACAGTTTCGCATAATGGTGTCTGACGTTTGACACACGGCATAGGCTCCGCTCCGTCTTTGTTCCCCTGGGTGCGAAATGCTCCACGTGAGCGGTTTCTTGCCTCGCATACCTGTTCGTTCCCCCCCGGCACTAAGGGGAGGGGGTTGCAGGTGTTTGGCAAAGTATGCTGGAGACTGGAGCCGCAATTTGATCTGGACCCGCTGGCGCTGGCGGTGGGTAACATGGCAGGGCAGGGCATGGCATAGCACGGCAAAGCAGCACTATAGCATCTACTATGAGTGTGGCGCGCACCCACGATGCAGCGGCATTGCACCATGTGGAGTGGTGGTGTATGTACTTAGGTAGGAAACTTGGCTACCAAGTACCGTTACTACTGCAGAGCATGTATCAGCGTGGTCCGTCTAGTCAGGGACCAGCGCTGCACGTCTGCAATTACCCGCTGGCCGCATCTGCTCGAGGCAAAAACGCTCCGAGCAAGAGACATGGTACACACGTCCTCGTCGACGGCACGCGAGCCATTCCACCCAACGCCCGCGGCCAACTGAACTGGCCGACTGGCACTGACTGACATTGACACAAACACGCATTCACTAAACACTGGTACACGTACACCCACCCCACGGCAGGGCGGCGCCTGGTGTCGAGGGTGGCATTGTCCGATTCAGTGGCGGGCCTGCGCGTTTAAAATAAGCAGAGCGCTAGCCGTCCGCTTTTGGAGGCCTCATTTGCGCCTGCCTCCTAATGGACCCTGCTAGTGAGCATTTCTCACCGACCTCCTCCTGCTCTCTCCTCCCCACCGTGTCAGGTCGCATCCCTCTTCTTCGATCCCTTCATTCATTACCTCCTCTTCTCCCCCGCATCGACGCTCTTACGCTCTTGCACAAGGCGCGCTTCTTTGCCCTTCCTTCTTGTCCTTGTCCTATCGTTTGGTGCACGTATCAACACAAGCCACGCGGGTTTCTTCTTCGCCAGCTCTCGGCCACAGCATTTAATTGCCTTTCACCCCCCCGCTGCTGCCATTGGCCTTCCATCTTTACCTCGACCGTGTCGCCTCGCTCGCCCGCCGCCGCGAACCTGTGCCTGTGCACTCGGCTTTCCTGCAACCCATCCAGTCTTTGCCTGGTCTGGTCCACAGCACTCGCCGCCATTGTGCCTTCCCCAGTGCGTCTCCTCGCCTCCTTTCGCTTCTGCGCCATGTCAGACTAACCTCGCTCCCCCAGATCGCTTCTTACTTATTGTAATACAGCATCATACTTCGCACCTCTAGCGACCATCCTGCAACCGGTTGCACCTTCCCCTTCTGCCATACATATTTCGTCGTCCGGTCCAACGAGTCCCGGGCGCAGTAATACATCTTCACCACGGCGGTTCTATCTCAAAACCCGCGGGACAGCTTCAGCCTGCCCCCGCACCTTCTTGATATGCAGCAACACGACGGTGCCCCTACCGCGCCTAGCGGTCCCCGTCTTCAGACTGGTTTCCCCAGGCAGGTCAATGGAGGCCATCACGGCTTCTCCCACGGTGCCTTTGCTACCAACCAGCCCGGCTACGGTGACAGGCACCCGGAGAGGGCCAACAACATGTCCATCAACACTGGCAGACTTGCCCCGGGCAACCAGAATGGCGCTGATTTGCAGACTCCCGGAACCGGTTTCGACATGAACTTCACCCCTCTGCTGCCTTCGCAGTTGCTTCTCGGCAGCCCTTTCCAGCCCGGTTCTCCCTCTGCGTTTGCGTCCCCACAATTCCAGAATTTTGCCCAGTTCGCGAGCCAGAACCAATCGCAGCAGCAGAACCACCAGTCTAACCACGTTGGTAGCCCTCTGCAGCAGCCTCTCTCGCCCCAGCTGTACCAAAACATGGTTTCTCCTACAAGCGGCTTTTTCGGTGGCCCACAGTCTCCCACTGGAGGCTTTTCTGGTTTCGGTGCGCAGGGCCTTGGTGGCCTCGGTTCCTCCATGCCAATTGCCCCTGGCCTAGTCTCTGGAACCAGCAGGACCGTCTACTTGGGCAACATTCCCCCAGAGACATCTGCGGAGGAAATTTTGGGTCATGTCAGGAGTGGCCAGATCGAGTCTGTCAGGCTTCTTCCTGATAAGAACTGTGCCTTCATCTCGTTCTTGGATAGCAGCTCTGCTACGCACTTTCACTCTGATGCCATCTTGAAAAAGCTCTCCATCAGGGGTCAGGACATCAAGATCGGGTGGGGAAAGCCTTCGCAGGTACCCACATCTGTGGCCTTGGCAGTACAGCAGTCCGGCGCTTCTCGTAACGTCTACTTGGGCAACTTGCCAGAGGATGTTACCGAGGATGAGCTCCGCGAGGATCTCAGTAAGTTCGGACCCATTGACACTGTCAAGATTGTCCGAGAAAAGGCTATTGGTTTCGTTCACTTCTTGTCGATTGGCAACGCCATCAAGGCTGTTTCCCAGCTTCCCCAGGAGCCCAAGTGGCAGGCTCCTAGGCGTGTATACTACGGCAAGGATCGCTGCGCATATGTTTCCAAGACGCAGCAGCAGAACGCTGCTCAGTACTTGGGCATTGCACCTGGATATGCACACGTTTTGAACGGCGCGGACCGTGATATGATTTCCAACGCCCTCGCCCAGCAGTCCGTAGCTGCGGCTGCAGTAGCAACCTCTGCTGGTGGTGTAAACAACCTGGGTAACCGAACTGTCTACCTAGGCAATATCCACCCGGAGACCACCATCGAAGAGATTTGCAACGTCGTGCGCGGCGGCCTTCTTCACCACATCAGGTACATTCCTGACAAGCACATTTGCTTCGTTACATTCATCGATCCCACTTCTGCAGCGTCCTTTTACGCTCTCAGCAACCTACAAGGTTTAATGATCCACAACCGCCGTCTGAAGATTGGATGGGGCAAGCACTCTGGCGCTCTTCCCCCAGCCATTGCCCTTGCCGTCAGCGGCGGTGCTTCCCGCAACGTGTATGTTGGTAACCTCGACGAGTCTTGGACTGAAGACCGTCTGAGGCAGGATTTCTCCGAGTACGGCGAGATTGAGTTGGTCAACACCCTGCGCGAGAAGAGCTGTGCCTTTGTCAACTTCACCAACATCGCCAACGCCATCAAGGCTATCGAGGCCATCCGAGGCCGCGAGGAGTACAAGCGGTTCAAGGTCAACTTCGGCAAGGACCGATGCGGCAACCCTCCCCGCCAGATGACCAACCAGCAATCACAGTCTCAGCAAGCCGGCAGTGATGGTCTCCAGTCGCCTTCACCCATCAACGGTCTGCACCCCAGCCGTGCTGGTGCGTCGGTCTCACCCACTGGCTCTGGCGCTCCTGGCTCTGGTCAGAGCACCAATGGACAGTTTCCCTCTGTTCAAGCTCCTGCTTCGGGCAATATTCTGAATGCGAGCAGCAACAACAACCCGTTGATGATGTATCTCCAGGCCCAGCAACAACAGGCTCAACAGCAACAGGTAGAGGCCAACATGCAGCAGCAGCAGCAGAACCAGCAGCAACAGCAGCAGTCGTTCCAGTCGCCCCAAGCTGCCTTCTACGGTGCTGACTTGAACACATCTCAGCCTCACCACTCGCACAGCTCTCACCAGAGTACCTCAAGCTTTAGCCTGATCAATGGTACATCTGCTGGTGGCTCAGGAACAACCACTGTTGGCGGTCTTCTTGCGCCCTCGAACCTTAACTCTCGTGGTCAGCACTCGCGCGCTGTAAGCCTTCCCGCTTTCACCCAAGGGCCTTTCAACCACTCTATGCCTCAGACCCAAGCTCCTCAACAAGGATCATTTGGTAGTCTGAGTTCGGGCATTGGTGGATTTGGCAGCGGCAACGGTGGTTACGGCCTTGCGATTCAAGGTGATGGTGGCTTGCCTGGATGGGCTGAAGAGGAGGTTGGTGCGCAGTAAGCGCCCATTGCCATTTTGGATACTCGCAAATGTCATGTTCACATTAGCGACATCCGATTCAAATCTACGACGTCAACCTGTTGGTTACCACTCACCACTTACCTCCCTTCTCCTTTCTTTCTTTTTGCAAATCTTTTTGAACCTAGGGTACTCGCGGAAAGGGCGTCGCTCTATTGATCTATCCAGGATCTGACTCTTCAACTATGTGTTGTAATTTGAACATGCGCGTTCTTTGCCTTAATACTTGACCTTACCACCTTCGCTTTCTCTTTCTTTTCTTCTTTCTTTCTTTGATTCTTCTTCTTTTTTTCTTCATGGCTTGACATGTTTTTGTTCATGTTTGTAGTTTAGATACCTGTAGGGATACCTAGGGACAAATAGGTGTAGGGGCATGAGACTAGCACAGGGTCGACATGAGTGTCTAGGCTGGAGTTCGCCAGTGATGTTGGCAATTGAATTTTGTAAAAGCTCAAGTGTGTGTAATGCTCTTGTTTAGTGATGAGTGCTGAATACATGTGCAAGATCCTTTCCCTTTCACATGAATTAAGCGTGACTTTGCTCACTCAAAAACAGAACACCAACATTATCTAGATGAGGCTTTTGTGTATTGAGATGCCATGAGAAGACTCTTGTCGTATACATGCTTTCTTGATTAGAATATATGCGTATCTCTAAGCTAGTCTTTTGACGATCCCTACTGAGTAACCGGCTACTTGGACATAGTCCACGCAGCATGCCGACGGTGGAACGTTTCGCATAACCCATATATGTAAAGGTGAGACACCG